GAGCCTGACGAGTTCGGGTTCGAAAACTTTGGACTTGACAAGCTCTCCCCTCACATATCTCAAAAAACTCGTCTCAGAAATGTGTGGGGTACACATGTCAGCGAATATTAAAAAAAACGGAAAAACGTAGCTCATGTCTTCGGAACGGCTATCCTACTCCGATTAGAAAATCTCATTGAAAGTATCTAAAAACAGTTCGGCCAGATCTAGATCCGAAAATTTTGGACCTGGCTGGCTCTATTCATTAGTGACGTGACGGAGTGCGGAAAACTATTTTTTTCTAACCGATATAAGAATTTCAAAACAAATTTCACACAGGACAAATTCTTCTTCAAGATCTCAAAATGATGGTAGGACAAAATCTTTTTGTTCCGGGACTAGACAAGATCTCTAGAAAACCGATCTTTAACAGGGAGTAATTGGTGTCCGATTCTAGTGAAAATTTCACGGTAGATGTGGTTCGTGTAGTAGACTTTAGTCTGAAACTTTCGTTTTTTTTCTCTCATATGATTACAGAGATATTCGCTAGATACTTTTTAATTAATAGTTAGACAACATTTTTAGATATTTCTATGGTAAAAGAATTTATTTAAAAAAAATACCCCTTGTAAATAACCAAAGTCAAATGAAAGATGAGTATGTCCTGTTTTGTCTGAAATGACCATATACAGTAAACGTTCATATTTAATCTACCGTTTAATTTGAGCTTCCTACCTGTTAGAGTGATTGCGATATAACTGATGTAAAATTCATATGAAGTTTGCGAATTATTTTTAGAAACACTAGAGAGAGAGTGAAATTGTAATAATTCTCTCACCACGGGAAACTTTTACTTTTCTCCGTATCACTCCTGTGTTCTCTGATTTATCCGGATGTGATTGTCAAAAGAGTAAAATTTCATAATCTCTATTTATCTAGTGATTAGATTGTGTAGAGCCAACAAAATTTATCAAACAGTTACATGAGTAGACTAATTGGCTTTTAGAAACTAAAGGAACTCGTAGATGGCTGTCATTGCTCCTGTTTAAAATGTTTTTACAGTTTTTAAATCGAGTTATTGTACTCTTTTGAATAAAGAAAATGTTTACTACAGCAAAGTGTAAGCAAATGACAGAAAGAAATATTGAGTTGATTAAAACAAATAATAGATCAAGCTCGAAACTAGAGACAAGCATTGATGCGTGTTTTTTTTTTATGTTTCAAGAAATTCGATTTATAAATCTCGTTCAAACCAATATTTTTAATTTATCTTACTAACAAAATAAAGGATATATTTTCAAAAATAATTTAAAATTTCTATGAATTTTACGTTGTTTTCATTTCTATAAGTATGCGACGTAGAAAGCTCAAGCTATAGTGTAGAATATATTTTGATATCTAACATACATACTCTAAATATCAATTAATTTCACAAAAGAATAATATAAGAAAAAAAGATTACTTGAAACGATCAAAACTTATTAAACATCTTTGATATCGACGAAATTCATTCTACAGAATAAAATTATCAATAAAAATATCATAGCAAAGAGTATGAAATGCTTTTCTATGTTTAAAAATAATTAATACAATGATAATGAATATTGATCAAGATTTCGATGAACATGTTCATTCATTTGTCGTTGTAAACTGAGTTCTATTTTATGAAAAATATTTTCAAACATTGTTGAAATAAGGTGCTCGTCTCATTAATTTCGAATTTTTTGTAATGTTGACATTATCTAAATATTTTTAAGGATAAAATTACATAATATATAAGAAGTAAAGTCGAAAATATATTATTCTTTGTTAGGTCTATTTCCATTTTTCTTCATTCTAATAACTATGTTTATACATCTATTTATGAAAACGTATTGTGAATAGTATTTTTCTTTTTATCATATAAACTTAGTACATTAATTGATTCATCAATTAAACTATCGTCAGATGTTGAATGATTGTCAATTCTATTAAAAAGTTGTTAGCACAATTCTTGGAAGATTAAAATGTGAAACATGGTGTAGTGCCTGTTGCTAACCACAAGAAAATTGTATTACTCCACATATTTTGAGACACCTCCAGATATACAACAAGGAAGCAGTTCAAATATTATTAATGAGACGTTATTGATATAGAGTCTTTAATCGTATATCAATACGATGTATTGGGGGATGAAAATTTCTATCCTATATACTTCAACACTCTTTTTAGATCATGTTTTACAAAGAAATCGAGTATTCAAATTCAAATAATTATTTATCATTTTTTTATGTAACTTAAAAATCTTAATCTACATTGACAATTAGGTAAAAGAGTATCTAGGATTAAATCATGGTAGAAATTATACATCTAGAATAAATGATTTATGTTCTATTGCTACGAAGTTTGTGCAAATAAATGTCACTGATATTGGTGAAGCGAAAACATTTCCAACATTAATAGATACTGTGGAAAATGGTCTAAGAATTGATGTAGTTCGTTCCTAAGGCATAGACAAATCGATGTTTGTCTATGTCTTAGCTCGACTATAACTTGTTCAAAGCAAACCAATTCGAAATAATAGTATTTTTAATGTGATCTCTTCTGTACGATGAAAACTGTCGATATTTTATGGATATTTCTGAATATTGAGAGGATCTCACACATTTCCAATAAAAAAACTTTTTAAAGAATAATAAAACCATCACAACAGATATACTGAATTATTGAGAATCTACATATTAATAGGAAACATCATTTATTACCTAAGCTTCGTTATTTTAATCAAAATAGGTTACATTTCATTTCAAGCTAATTTACGCCCTGCTCTGATTGCGCTATAAACACCAAACAGGTCATTTTCATCAAGACGTATTATTGTCATGCTACAATCTGCTGCTCGGGCAGTAATACTATCTTTCTCAGTATTGGCCATCTGCTAGTGTTGGCATAGTATAACTATTGTTTCTATTAACTAAATTCAGATATACACATTATAAACAAATACAGAAAAAAAACTCACCAGGCAAAAAAAATCACTGAAACTTGTAGAGTAGTGGCACCGTTTCTATGCATAAGCACTACCTATCGCTTGTAGCATGTGCATAGTCATTATCGATGATATAGTAAGAAGTAGAGAGATTCAATGAACTATGATGTACAAGCATTTGAATACCTTTTACACAATACAAAAGCATTGCCAAAATATTGATCAGTAAATTTTTGTTATCTAAAAATACCATACATGAAAACAGTTGAAATGAATTTTATTGATTTGTTTGAAGAAAAATGGTCCATTATCATTTTTTACCGGATTCTCGATGTTATCGATAAGCAAGATCTTTGGGATTGAAGGCAGCAATACTACTAACATGTATAATATCTTCTCTGAAATTTGTTGCATTTATTTGTAAACAGGCTTTAGTTTATTTATTACATCTGTTTAAATCATCAATAATTTTTTCTTCACTTTTCAGCGTGTTACATCAGATTAATCAGCACCAAATCCTTTACATTCCATGTATGATTTTCTGGACGAAAAAATTATAATTTATTAATAATATCTGATATTATATATTTTGCTAAAACTTGGCATGTTTGATGAATTAAATTTCGAAGTAACATTTGCGGTGAATTGATATTCTTTAGCAATTTGACCAATAAGTATTTTCCCCAAATTATGAATTACTTTCGAATTTATGTATATCTATAACTAAATAGAAATATTCTTCATATGTTATAATGATCGCTTTTTATTTTGAATTTAAAGTCTGTTAGGGAGAAAATACTATTCAATTGCGAATAACAGTGGGAGAAAGGTGCATAGAAACAATAGGAAAATATTATTATTTGTCTATTTTTTGTTGCATGTCATTTGCTTGAATATTTAAAAAAAAAAAATAAGGCATGGGAAAGGCAGAATTCGAGTCAACTTCATTTTTCATTCATTTATACATAGGAGCAAAGTACTAGACAAGCTGTTTACGAAACAATATTTTGTATTTTAATTGAATCATTCTGTCTCACTGGAAAAGCCAAAGACATCAATAAGATTAGACATATAGCTAAAAGTCTTTTATTTTAATTCAACATTCAAAAATTATTAGAAAAAAATATAATTTGCTATAATTAAGACTGATAGAATGAAAAATTTATTCATTGTAGATAGAGAGAAATAATATGTGTTAATCAGCAAATTTTGTAAACTTATCTAGGTTTTTGTAAGAGAAAATTAGGAATTTATGTTTTATCTCATTGGAAATATAAGATCTCATGTTTCAAAAAGAATGTTTAATTTTGTTTCATTATATAGACAATTGAACATTTACTCATTCTCGTCGCAAAACGAGTAAAAAAAATTACCTTGAATATTGTAGCTTTTGTTATTATAGTTTGATAAAAAGAAAGTAAAATAAATAATTGATTTTACATATATATTAGCCATATCTGTGTTTCGGGATGAAATGCGTCTGTCCTCCTCCTCAGCATTTTTTTTTTGCTGAAACTTTACCTATAGTTTCCCAGAGTATTATTTTTCCTTTGAAATAGATCTTGTTAATATATATGTGAAATCAATTATTTAGTTTACTTTTTTTCTTTTATCAAACTATAATCCCAAAGTCTACAAAATACAAAGTCATATTGGACTTAATTGCCGTCGAAATGAGATAACGCTCAATTTTCTCAACAATAAAAAAAATGAAAACTTCTTTTATAGTTCGAGATTTAATGATTTCAATGGGATAAACATGTTCTCAAGGTACCTACAATAGAAAAAATATTTTCAGAAAGTTTAAAAAAAAATAATTAATAAAAATTCGAAACGTCGTATAAAAAAAGTTACTCTTGGCTAAACACATTTAATTTTATTAATTTTTGTGCTTTTTTCCCCACAACAGAGTGACGTAATTGAAATAAAAAGTATAATTTCGTACTCAAATTGTCAAACTCTCTGATTCCATGTATAAATAAACTAAAAATAAAATTGACTCGAATTTTTATGTTTCCTGATTGTTAGTTACTATCAATACATAAATAAATATCTACAGTTCATCAAAATCATCTTTTTCTCGTTGTATTCGTTCAAGAGCAGCTGATATATATTTTTCACGTGAATTGTATGTTGTGTTATTTAAAAATACACTATTATCAGATCGATGATGTGCACTTGTAGGTTGTTCATTATTTCGAGTAGTAGTACGATTATTTTTACAAGAATTTGTATTATTCTTATTAGAAACATGTGAAGGAAATATTTCATGAGATTCTGAACTAAAATAAAAAATAATTATCATTTGTAATTTATTAATTTTTATACTTTAAATGTTGTCCTTTGATATCCATTAATTGTAACGATTTTCTTGTTAATTGTATTTGTTGATCTATTTTCGACAGATAATCTTGATAAGATGAATTATTTGTTGTTGATATGGAAATTAAACTATCAGATGATCGATTAGATGAAGTTGTTTCATCAGTTGTATTTGTATTTATCGAGGATTTTCGATGAGGATTTGTTAATAATGGTAAATTTTGAACAATATCTAATGTCGGATATTGAGTTCGAAGTACTGATATTTGTGGAGAATTAATAGGAATATATACATGTTCTAATAAACCTAATTCAGCATCGGACCATAATTTATTAACTCGTTTGATTTCTTGAATCTTCAAATGAAATATATTCAAAAACAATGGCGATTTTTATAAAATCAAGAAAATACATACATTAATACTATATTTCAATGCAAGCCTTTGTAACGTATCATCTGATTCGACTTTGTGAACAATGTAAAATGTTGGAAATATTTTTGATTTTGCCAAACTACCATAATTTCCACCTATACATTTTGAATTATGTACTAAGTCTCTAAGAGTGCGTGCTTCTGTTGGTATCATTGTTGAAATAACACATTGGCTAGTTTGTACATCTGTCGATACTCTGGCCATGAATTTTTTGACATTAGACGAATTAAAGAAAACGTAATGATGATTGTTTTACTTATTTTATTTGTGCTGATTCAGAATAACAACAGTTGATGACTTATTTCGGAGACATACGTCAGGAAAATAAACCATTGACAGAAAAATGACTATTACTGGTTGCCTGTAACTTAGTTTTGTTATGTTAAATACGCCATCAGCATCTGACATCTATGGAAACGTAGAAGCATTGTTTTTCATTTACTAAATATTTCGATTTTTGCAGATTGTGACCGAATCGGTATATTTTTTTATTCAATATTGATTTATCTAATTTCTTTTCTTTTCTTTAATCAAAGTCAACAAAGAAATACCAAGTCATAATTTTCACTTGATTTCTTATTTTGATACACTCATATGACAATATCGAGTGCCTCATAGAAAATTACCCTCTTAGTATTTTTTGAAACTTCTCCTCTATTATTCCCTCGATTGAAACACCTTTTTAGAAAAAGATATTTGAAAAATAGTTGAAAAATAAAGACATGCAAACAGCCATAAAAAAATACGAAAATGGTGATGGATCGATACAAATTTATCGTGATTTATGTAGAGTAAGTTCATTAGGATCAATTAAATTGTAGATTCAAAGATCAGCAATACTGGTTCTATCAATTTGCTACACATATTCCCGATCTTCTACGCATGATTCGAACGAGAGCAAAAATCTTGAAGGCGCAATGATGTCTAGTTCACAACAAACAGGTATCAAAAAGAAGATTGACTGCTAAAATGAATATTTTAATGATAAGAGAACAGCAGATATTGTGTAAAGATCTTGGCTATTTCTCATATCAGAAAATAAAACAGCCAAAAGTGATTAGTCTTCAAAGAAAAAAAACAGACAAGGATTAAGTTTGCAATTCGGATGATGAATAAGTATACCGAAGATGATACCAAAAGTTAGCTTCTTAATAATGAAAAAGTTTTTGACTTAGATGGAGTATACGATTGTCTACATCATTGGGCATGCGCTGACAACAGTGTAGATGCTGACAAGAAAAATCATGTGTATGAGTAAAACAAAATTTCTAGTGAAAGTAATAGTGTGATTAGATGTATATGGCCAAAAGTTGATAGCATCACTGATTTTGGAAGACGGAGCATTAAATGCAAAGAGATAAATCAAGGACGCTCTATCAATAACACTCAAGTGCGGTAAAAAGATGCAAGGTAACGATTTTACATAACCAGACGACGGAAGATGTGGGTATGGGAGCCAATCTTCTCTGAAAAATCACGCACATCAACAGTCCGATCCCATCCACATCTGCCTAGCGATACTGAGTTATTGTACACGTCAAGAACTCTTCACTAACATTTGTATAGCGCACACATGGTCGAAAATTATGAAAGTTTGTTTTTCTTTTTCTTCGCTTTTCTAACTTCCTATGCGATATCTTCATTTTATATATCTAATATGATCGACATTTCATGTTATTAGCTTCCAAAAAAAAAATACTAAATTGAAATTAATACTGTACAAGACAATTATAAGACCAGGTGCGAAAAAACAAATATCCCTAAAGCCAGTATAATAGCAGAGCAGCAATTTTTTGAAAGAGACGATGAAAAAAAATTTTTTTTTTTGACTTACATTTGATCATATCTCGAGAATGGGTGTCGATGTCATTTTTCCTTGACACACGTCCACGCAAAAGCATATAACAAAAAGTGATTGATGAAAGAGACTCAATAAGATGTGGGTGTAGATTTGTGCCGAGAAAAAACGACACCCATACCTTACTTTTGAGTCTTGTATTTTCAAAGTTTTCAGAGACAAACTCATATAGAAGTGACGCTTCAAATTTTTTGAATTTTCTTACCTTCATCATATATCTTAAATTGAATTTTTGATCTGACACCTTCGATTGAGCACGGTTGGTCGATGCTTACAGGTACTGGCTCATAGTACGCCAACTAAACGATCATATACTACAAGGACAATCAACTCAGAGAAATGACTATTGCAAAGGATTAGCAATAACGTCGCTAGATGAAACGAAGAAATGATGGCATTTTAGGTGCATTTCAAAACTTAATCTGAGTTCAATTTTCTTCATCTTAAACAATAATTGAATTATCACAAATGAAATTCATGTAGCTGACAAAGGTAAAGAATTTTAATTTTTTTTAAGATAATAATTGACGTCTCATGTATTGTTCAAAAGTCATTACATCGATAATTCTATTTTTCTTCTTTTGGAAATAAACATCATTGAATATCTCTCATTGAATAGTTATACCAGTTCTATTTTTTTTGTGTCAAATATCACAACCCCTTGAATTAATATTTCCCCAAGTTTTACCTTCAACTCTTTGACATTATTTCTTTGGCATCGCTGCTTGAACAGAACATTGTCAAGATAAGAATATATTTTCTTCTCAATTTTCAATAAAATAAATGAGAATGAAAATTAAAAGAAAACTTTGTACATTGACTCATTTTCAAACAATGAAATTAATTTTGATCTTATCTGAGTCAAATTAACATAAGGAACTAACTGTCTTTGTGAATAAACATATGTCATGCATTCTGGATTCCGTTTAAACTGATCTTATATCATATGAAGTCAGCTATATTATTCAATAAGCTCAAATTAAAAATATATATATATTTTGTCAAGCAATAAGAAAATCGAATTTAACAAGATCGTATACCTGGTCGTTTAACGCAGATGTTAACACTCTATTGTAATTATGATCCTTTGTCTACAAGTAAAAAAAAAGAAATCTGAACATATATTCTAGTAAATCCCTCGCCGTCATAGAAGACCCTGAATTTTCTACTGTGTTCAAGGGTATAGATTTTCCAGAAGGTCTTCTATTGTGAGAAGAGGTTTATATCATATATTTTGATGATGTTTTTCATGTTATTTGAAACTATATGAAGCATCTATGGGAATTTAATCTGAATTTCTATGAAGAAAACAAACCAATTGAGTGAGTGACTCTTCAGCTTTCATTGATTTATACATATTTAAAATCAGTATTAATGTTTCTTCGAATTTATAATTCTACTGGCAATAGAGGTCATGCTTGTTTGTTCTCTTTATTACAGTAAATATTATTATTAATTATTATTAAAGTTATGCATTTTCTATTGGTACAAGTACGATCCAATAGAGTTGCTTTCTTCGTTTGGTCATTAATAGTCTTGAATCTTTTTTTTTATTGAAAATAGTCAATCAAATATAAAAATAGATCTTTGCTGCATTTGTCGAACACATTAGTTTTTAATAAGCTGACTCCTTTCTTTTTGTTTGTCGGTACTTTCCTACTTTAAATATAATTGCTATACTTAGTGATGTAATTGACACACATATAGGATTGTGTGAGGGAAAAGTCTGGCTTTTAAAGTTAAAAAGTATCCGTTTGCGTTTCTTTAAGTATTTTATATGTATTAAAGATGAGTTTTCTTGCACGAACATTTTCACAAGTTCTTACACGTTCAGCAGTAACAACAACACGTCTCTTAAAACCAAATCATACGACATCATTAGCTCTTCGTTTAGCATCAACAGAATCATGTCAACAAAGTAAAAAGAACATATAAAAGAATATATAATTATTTTATTTCTATATATATATAGGTGGTGATAAACAACAAAAAAAATATGAATATTTATTAGTGGATATTAAAGGAAAAGATTCTAATGTTGCACTTGTTCAACTCAATCGACCAAAAGCATTAAATGCATTGTGTGATGGTCTAATGAAAGAAGTATGAATAGTTTTTATTTATTTATTTCTATTGATCGTCTTGTTTTAGTTAAGTATAGTCTTAGAATCACTCGATAAAGATGATAAAATTGGTTGTATTGTTTTAACAGGCAGTACACGTGCATTTGCTGGTAAATCTTTTTTTTCTTCTTTTATTTCTCTAATAAATAAATTCGATTATGAATATTTTAGCCGGTGCTGATATCAAAGAAATGCAAAATAATAAATTCGCACAAGTTGTTAGTTCAGGTTTTCTTGATCAATGGTCAGCAATAACACGAATTAAAAAACCAATAATTGCTGCTGTCAATGGTTTTGCAGTATATTGATCAAATATAATATTATTCACTTTCTTTTTGATGTTTTTTTTTCTCTTTCATTTAATAGTTAGGTGGTGGTTGTGAATTATCAATGATGTGTGATATTATCTATGCTGGCGATACAGCTGAATTTGGTCAACCAGAAATTATTATTGGTACAATTCCAGGTAAGAAGTTTTATTGTTTGAGTAATATATTACTATTATTGTTTTTATTTGAAAGGTGCTGGTGGTACTCAACGTTTACCTCGTTATATTGGAAAATCAAAAGCAATGGAAATAGTATTAACAGGCAATCGAATTAATGCAAAAGAAGCTGAAAAATTTGGTTTAGTTAGTGCCATTTTTCCACCCGAAAAAGTTGTTGATGAAGCTATTAAAACAGCTGAAAAGATTGCAAGTCATTCAAGAATTGTCGTACAATTAGCTAAAGAAGCAGTCAATGCTGGTAAGTGTTATTGATTTTATTAAAAAAAGATTTTATGTTTGTTTTAAATAGCATTTGAAACTACATTGGCTGAAGGAAATCGCTTAGAAAAACGTCTTTTTCATACAACATTTGGTTTAGTAAGTTAAATGTTTAATAGAAGAGAAGACTTAAATTCTTGTTTGATTTTTTCTTTTCTAAAGGCTGATCGAAAAGAAGGCATGACGGCATTTTTAGAAAAACGTAAACCAAACTTTACTGGTCAATAATGGTATCATTAACGTATTGCTCATTATAATATCCAACCTACAGTAACTTATTTCGAATAGATTTTTCTTCGTAGTTTGTTATATTCTGCTCTCGTGATTTTTTTTAATTCTTTTTTTGCCACTAAAATCATTAGATGAAAAATGCATTGCTTTTTTTTTATGAACAAAAGACACATTAACACATGTATAAGATACAGGTGATGACAAAAGACAAAAGAAATGAAAAGTGATACTTGTTCATAGAACTAGTTTGAATAGAATCTTGAATAAAATGCAAAATTTTCATGAATTTTAAACAAAAGATGAATGTGTGTACCATTTGAAAATCTTTAAAGTCATTAACAAACTTCTTCTTTTCTTTTTTTTCATAAATGATGACCGCCATTCAAAGAAAGAGATGAAGGCGTAAAATTTATTCAACGGATTAGACATTGTCTGTTTATATACTGCTGCTTTTTCTTTCTTTCGCCCTATGATCTTAGCACGTTTGTTTTCATTTGATGTCTATGACTGACATTAAGTATTCGTCATATATGAAGACTAAGTGACATTTTCTCATTCGCCTTGACTTGCATGACAGTTGAACTCATAAAATATTCTATTTGATATAGATAGAATGTCTTGTGTTTTTCTTTTTCATATTGAAGATCATATCTATATTAGTTTATCATTGATTGATCGATGAAATCGTTATTTATTAATACATATATTAGTTTTGTTGTTCTTGCTATTATTGGCAATACTCAACATGCTGCATCAGCTGCACCACTGTCTGCAAATATAGTTTCATTCTACAATGCAAATGATAAAATAACTGTTTTTACAAGTCAAAATTTTTCTTCAACGGTTTATAGATCGGAAACGGCATGGCTTGTTGAATTTTATGCAAGTTGGTGTGGTCATTGTCAATCTTATGCCAATGTATGACATATCTTCTATTTATTTATTTTTTTAATAATAAATATTCAAATTTTTTTTTCTATATTAGACTTATCGAGAAATTGCTATTGATACATGGAGTAGGAAAAAAAATATATCATTCTAGAAAATAAATTCTGTTTCTTTTTCAGTGTGGAATACAATTGTTCGTATTGGTGCAATAAATTGTTATGTAGGAGACAATAAGGCACTGTGTCGTCAACATAACATCAGAGGCTATCCGACAATGCTAGTGAGTGAAACAGTGTTTTGTTTTTGTTTTTATTTTTTTTTTTTTGCGTCTTCATTATAAAATAGTTCATACCACCTGGAACTATCTTTAATAATGCATCTAAAATGATTGAGATTCCTGCGATGGATGCTAATGTTGTGGAAAAAGGACTTGTTAAAGAACTTGATAATATTCCTAAACAAAACACATTATGGCCACCATTTACACCAGTCAAGTAAGATATTTTTTTGGAAATCACGTTGCTGGATTGGATGACTCATCTTGAACCAGAATAATATATATGTAGTTTTGTAGATCAATTTTCGACACATCGAATGATGCATGTGAAATTAGGTTTTATGAAAATTTTGATGTGCTATGAGTCCATATATTGATTACAATTCTTGAGAAATATATATATGTAGTGCTCATAGACATTGTCATTTCTAAGATAAATTTATGCAATTTTTGTTTTTAAACTCAATTCGATATAGTTGCAGGCAGCCTTGAATTTTCTATAAACTATAATTTTCAATGTTACTCTCTTCATACTTAAAGCTGACTCCTTTCTTAGTTCTAGCTTATTTCTTGACGACTTGATATTTTAGTGTGTTCAAATCTGTACCACAGAACAAGTGAATACGAGAGTGAAACTTTTTCAAACATTGCACACTATTGAATTGTATGTGTATCACACACAACATCTTTTGGAACAGCAGAGATTGATTGTCAATTTGAAAGATTATCCTATAGAATAGATTATTTTCCTATATGACGGGATGAGTATACTGATGATATTTTTAACAATACTCAACAGTCGTATGAATAATTTCTATGCACCAACAATAATCAACATAGTATTTGTGATGAACTCATACAAATAACTCCTTTTAGAAACAAAGAAAAAGATTTTTTGACCTTCAGATCCCTGAAGAGAAGTACGAGTATAGAATTGCACGAAGGAGGTATGCTATTTTTATTTTGTATTGTTAAAATTTTTATTCCGAGTGCTTAAGTTTGATTTATGAATGAAACTCCATTAACTAGTAAAGAAACTTGCAGTATATTAAAATTTTCATAAAACTTGATTTCTTATATACCATTCGATGTGTTGACGATTGTTCTACAAAACCAAATATATGATATCCTGGTTTAAGATAGGTCATCGAATCCGGCAATGTCATTTAATTAAATTGATTATTTTCTATTGTTTATAGTCGAATTACACTCGAAGAGCTTTTTGCACGTATTTCATCAACAGTTAAAATTCTTTTAGTTATTGCAGAAAAAAGAGATGATTTTACTGGTCGAAAAGTAAAAATTCTTTTCTTATTTGTAATTAGAATTTTCATCGTTAATATATAGGTAATGCTCGACTTTTCTAAATATCGTGATCAAATAGCTATTTTTCGAACAACTACAGATGGAAAATTATGGCGCAAATTTAATATTAGTATGACAGACGTACCTGCCTTATTTGTTATACATCGAAATCGAACTGCTGAACGAATTAATGTTGAGCAAAATAGCAGGTAAAAAAAAATAATTATTTAAAAAAAAAAATGATTTTTTTCTATGAGTTTTATTTTTCTATAGTAAAAATATTGATTATCGAAATTTATTTAATAATGCTATTCGATCATACATTCATAAAACAAACTATATTGAAAATTTTGATGATCTTGACTTCGAAAAAGTTATTCTTAGTAAAAATGCACTTAAAAATACTGAAACAAAACAAAAAATAGCTCGCAACAAAAACGTAACAGATGAAATTCTTGATAAAAATACGATTTATCGTAAAGTAAATATGGTTGATCTTGAATTGGCTTTGTCTTATATGTTTCGAGAAGAAGTACCTCAAATGAAAGAAATTCATGGTGAAGCATATGATGCATTACTTCAATGGTTGACTATACTCACTAAGGTATGACATGTGAAACATATTCATTACTTAATAGTTTTAATATTAGTATTAGTTTGAAAATGTGAATTATATGATTGTCTATAAGATCTTCAAATAAATTGTCTTTTTTAGTGCAGCCTGACTGACCTCTGTATGCCTTTTCCTAGATCAATATATTTAACAAGTAATTGAATATTAATGTATGGATGTCTTAGAAGATGGAAACAAGTAAAGTCGAACTATTTATCAATTCGAATTAACCATAACCTAGATAACTAGAGTAGCTTGAGATTACTTTAGGCTTCTCAACAACATTAACCATCTACATGTGAATAGTAACAAATGAAGTCTATAATATAAAACTTTAATAGAAAATCTAAATAATCAGCGAAACGAAATAACCTTAAATACGAGAGAATTCGTTTAGTTCGATTACTAATTCTGCTTGAGATCTAATAGTAAAACGAAAAGTAGACGACTAGATGTTTTTTAAAATGGACTATCTATTCTATTTGTTATCTACCAGCTATACTAATCACAATACCTATTATTCGAAGTAGACGTGGCATATGTACTATTCGATGTCCTGGTGATGATAAATATTATGAAATAGGCATAAGCGTTGATTCTTGAGTCTATTCCAAATGTCAAGCTACCACCAGTATAGTGCACATTTTACCGAATGGTCTACAGAAAGTTTTTATCCGGTGTGAATCACATGGAAAAGTAGATTTTAACATGTTCTAATTAGCTATTATTATTATCTTACATAGATCGTTGACTAATTCCTATTTATATTGTTATCATATAGTAAGATTCGGTATGTTCTCTTTAACTAGTTCATCGAATTCATTCAAAACATTTTTACTTCTTTCTGTGTTATTGTTTTCTTTTTTGTGTATTCTCGATAGATATACATTGTATAAAATCAATCAATCAGTTTTGATGTACATGATTTCTTTGCTTAATAAAACAAAAACTTTCTTCTGCTTTCAATTAACATCATTATGGTAGTCTATACATAAAACGGCAAAACATATTTCAACGGTTAGCCAGATTAGGTCAACACAAACAGATAATAGATACAGGTAGGTTGAAGAGATTCATAGCGCCTGACATGATTAAGTCTGCTGAAACCTCTAATATAACCATCATTTTTTTAGAAAACATCACTTTTTGAGACAATATTTGTATTTATAGCTTATTTTATATTCTATTCTATTTTTTTATATAGTATTTTCCTGGTCGTGAACCAGTTATGGCATATTTTAAACAATTATTATTAAAAGTCAATGAACAACCTAATGGTTTTAGTGGAAATAATTTTCGAGAAATTATTGATATGAAGACATCGAATGCTTATTTACCAAATGATCATGTTCAATATCAATATTGTGCAGGGTCGGCACCACAATATCGTGGTTATCCATGTGCACTTTGGCTTCTTTTTCATACTCTTACGGTTTCACAATATCAAATAGGTTTCTCTATCTTTACTTGTTCCTTTTTTTTCTTCATTTATCTTCTTTTATTTTCAATAGAGTCAACACAAACCAATGTCACTGAAGTGCCATTAGCTATAAAAAATTATATAAAACATTTTTTTGGTTGTCGACAATGTAGCACTAATTTCATGAAGGAAACTATTAACATAACTCAACTTAACTCACAAAGTAAACGTGAAGCAATTATTTATCTTTGGAAAAGTAATATATTTTTCTGAATACTGTATCCTGTCGGATAAAATAATCAGCTTTGATTTGAAAAGTCACCTATATTGTTTGGTAGAGCAAATCATGATGTATTGAATGGTATATAGAATATCACTTTTTTGTCAATTTTTTGTTTTGAGAAGCTAAATACCAGTTAACGAATATTATAGCAATTGTGGATATGTCTAAACATTAGAACTCAGTATATCTTCAAACCAACCTATAGCAAATTTCGTTTAACTTTACTTCAATAGAGTTTTGTATACTCTTCAATTGTGTACAACTAATAATATTCACAATAGCTTTCTTCGTACCTCAAATCTTAACATTTTTACTAGTTTCTATAATTTTGTGACTTTTATGATGTTTTAAATTGTTTGATATTGCTCCTAAGAGTAAAGATAACCAGCCGTTCAACTTTCTCAGAAACCGTGTGCTACCACGCTCTATAAATATACCAATTGATTATTCTCTGAATTATAGTGTGTCATGGTCGAAACGTCCAATCAGTCCCTAAAAGAGGTCAACTATTCGATTCCAAAAGGTAGAAATTGTATATGAATTTTACTGTAAATATTTTTTGAGTGAAAGTGTTTCTATCTTTTTAGTAATAAGTTTATCATGCCCTATCGTTTGACGTATATGATTCTTTCGAAAATAGTCAACAAATTTTTCGCTTTCAAACCTCTGGAGTAGGGTATGGGCATGAACTATTACAAAGATGCATCTTTTTTTCGTTCTTTACAAGTTTATATTCTGAATAGTCGAGTGTGATTTGAGTATGAAGCTCTACTAGATTCAATATATGTTCACTCTATTATGAGAATTAAGAATTTCACATGTCTCCGCACCCTCTCCACGGGTCTGCAATCGAAAAACTTTCTTTTGTTACTGTCAAAAGATCTATATATGTCAAATGATAGGATATGATAAAATTTTTATTAATAATTAGAAATTTTTTCATTGAAAAAGTATATTTCGCAAAACTCATACACATAACTGCCTTTTGAAATCGAATAATAGGTCTTCCTTTGTCCTTAGTAGCAATACCCAAGAACTTAAAACGTCGTAAAAGTCAAAAATTCTAGAAATCAGTAAAAATGCTAAGGCTTTGGTTACGAAGAAAGCTATTGTAAGTATAATTAGATATACACGATTATAAACTAGACAAAACTCTATTGAAGTAACTTTAAACAACATTCGATATAGGTCAGTTTGGAGACATACTAAGGTATATCTTTTCAGAACATAAAAACTTGATGAAAAAGCAACTTTTTATATACTATCCAATGTGCCACGGGTTCGCCCTAAAAAACGATATAGGTGAGTTTTCAAATGAAGAATGATCATCTTATCCGATAGGGTCCTTTTTATTTTTATTTTTATTTTTGCTAAATCTAATCTTTTAGTTCACAATCGTGTTAATAAGCGTTTATATGCTAAGATAACTGAAGATCCTAAACATCCAAAAGTTCAATTTCCAAGTAAAAAGCTCTGTGCAACATGTCAATCTATGAATAAGGATAACACTTCTAATGAATATATTATTTCAAAAACAATTAATTTTCTTGTTGAATATTATTCAAAAGAAAATATTGATACATCATTAATATCAGACAAATCTTATAGTAATGAAAAGTTATTAACTCGACAAGAACGTTTAGTTACAAGTATAGAATTCAATACTGACATAAAAGAACGTGTTGGATTAGTTAAATATCTCATGACACTGACACAACATGTTTCGTTGTATATTTTTATTGCTTTGATTATTATTATTGTTCTATTTCGTCGTCGATATTGTAGAGTTAAAACAAAACGTTATATAGTTTAAGAAAAAACCAATATCTACTAGTCATCATTTTATTTGTCTCATTCCACTAAACTCATGTCTAGAAGAATCTATACGCAAAAGAATGTTCGTCTCCTTTCCACTTTCTTCAAGAATCTTGTTATCATGACATATAACTATTAGGTTTTTTTTTGCTTTTTTTTATAATCTCATTGTATTCTATTGCTTTTACCTAATTGTTTTGTAGTTTTCATTCCAATAATTTATGTGCATCTGATGTAATATCGAAAAATAAATTGTATACAGCCTTTGATTGGGTTCACTATACTATATGCTAGATTTCATCCAAAAGATTTCTTCCTACAGGATATTTGATTGTGTGTCGATTATAAAAAAGTAATGTTTAACAAGCAGTGTTTATTATGAAGTCATAGAAGATATAGCATATGAATAATAAAAAGAAAGATTTATTGAGACTTCTATTAGATATATTATATGAATAAATTCGAAGAATTTTCGATTTTGTTAAACAAATTGTTACAAAGTAAGGATTAAATGAATAAAAAAATCTTGATTTTAACTGTTGATTATGAAACTTACTTTTTTTTTTCTTAACAGAAATGTTGAGATTTTTATAAATTTGAATCAAATTCATGCAAAAAACTCTGCATCACACTGGTCCACGGCAAGGTAGCTGACAGACAGAAGTATTCTTCCTTCTTCGTTTCTGAAAATTTTAGGCAAATCTTAGATTGGTCTAGGCGACTGATGGATTGAACAAGTAACACGACCAATCCCGAATTCGCCTAAGCCAACTTTGAGTCGACTAAGATATTACACTAAAGCAAAAGTTAGTTATCGCATATGAAGTTTTATTTTCAACAGAATACAATATCTAATCATAAGTAAATAATATTAAAAGAAAAAATCAGCAAAGGGTGTGTGAGTGTGGATGTATTTGTTCTTTTCACCCTACTCCCACATTCACAAACAATATGTAAATGAACTCTTTTACTTTTTCAAAGTTTATTTTAGTATCAACGGCAATACGATTTCATCTATATGTTTCTATTCCAGTTTTTCTTCCATACATTATTTGAACTGAATTAAACCTTCATATAGAATGGAAGATACTTAGTCTCTAATTCGATACTTGATATATCGTAACTGCTCAATCCGAGTATGGCCTCAATCAATGTCCGTTCAAGATCAGATTCTAAATTGTCCGCTAACATGCATTGTGATAGCTAAAAGAAATTGTATACTTGCTCATGTAAAACGAACACTACTATTTTATCATATAATAAAAGGTAATGATGAATGATTTCGAAATTCAAGTATAACTTTATTGTTTAACAAACTGACGTCAGTTTATTCTTCTGAATCATGAAAAAAAAACATGTCCTAGAGAAAAACTAAAAGCTTATTCAATAAAAGAAAGAAGATTGTTTTCATTATTATCTTCATTGTTTCTATTTGGTTGATCAGGTGAAATGGATAATGGTGAAATTCTTTTTTCAAGTCGTGCTGGTGGTCGATCAAGATCAATTGAATGTTTTTTAAACAGATATGTTGATTTTGTTTGCAATGCATCATCTTCAGAAACAGGTTGTAAACGTGCTCGATTAAATGTTGGTGATGGTGTTCGTGATGTTGAACGACTTCGATTCGCCATGTTACCTTCAATTTCAGTATCTGAAGATGTTGCAGAGAGTGGTGGTGAACGAATTCGAGGTATAGGTGGAAGAAGTAAATCATTTTGATTAAAATGACTTTCAATTGTGGTTGTTGATAATGTTGGTAATTGAGAAGAATTATTTGTATTTGCAGACGTTGATGATAGTTTTTTAGCAATTGTTGTTGGACCAATTGATACATGTTGTTGTTTTCGATATTTTTTAACTTCTTTATGATCAGTTAATAAATCATTTTCACTTAGATTTGTTTCATTTGATGTAGCTGTACCTTCGATCGTTCTTGTAGAATAATCAGATTGACTTTCATTTTCTTCTCGATGCTCTAAAACATTCACATGGTTATCGTTAATTTTAAGTTTGCAGGAATGTAACTTATAGGAGATGTTTGCAGTGTAACGTTCCTTCTGCTTTTGAAAATTTTCTCACGCACCGCTTCTTTTTTTAACACAACCCCTCTGCACTCTGTTCTGTCTCAAGTGCTGAGTTATGCTACTATAAGTTCAATAACGATATGAATCCATAGAATTTAATGAAATATTATTATGAAACAAGGTATAAAAGGAATGTTGAAATATAGAGGTAGAAATTTGAACCTAGGCGCCACAGACGTAACAGATATATGAAGGAAATGGAATCGGTTTGGTTCCAAAAAAACACAATTCGATTTCACCTCTGACATTCGAGTAGTGGCTCATTACAGACGCCTTAGTAACGCTCACTCGGATCACATACCCGTAATAGATGATATTGATATACGACAATAAACTGCGTATCAATAACGTCTCGTTATAATATATGAACTACTTCCTTAGTGTATTTCTCCAGGGTTAAGTAAAAGGATGATAAAGAAAAGTATTCCAAAATAGATAGCAGAAAACAATTTTCCGGTAGCCAGTAACAACCTATACATTGTATTGTTCATTTTAATCCTCCGAAGATAAGCTAACAGCTTTTCTTTATTTCTCACTCTATCAAAAAGAGTTATGCTTCTGTTTTATATAAAAAAAAAACTTTGCAGGATACAATAAGTCATTCTGTTCAAATAGAAAGACTATTGCAAATTTGATCCTAACATTGCTCCGTTTTTGTCAAAAAAAAGTTTTTTTTTGTAACGAGCAAATTATTTTGTTCAAGATATTCTGACTGTTGAAACTCATCGAATTGATAGCTTTCAAATGATATACGAAATAAGAAAGAAAAACTCAATCAATAATTCTTTAGAAAAACATTATCTTTGAAAAGCTTTTGTTTCGTACTGTCGGAACTGATCTTCGTTTTATTTGATACAATTGAAGCAACTTGAAAATCACGCATGGTTTTCTGATCATTTGATTTACTTGATAACCAAGCATTGCACGAAATATTATAAGTTTTATTACGAATTGGATCATCAATTGATATTTTGTTTAAAAACCAGCTTGCTCCTAAATAAACATTACAAAATTATTCAAAGATTATTTATTATTTAAAACACTGACGCATATCTTTTCGATCATGTCCAATCGTAATTCCTACTAATTCTCCAACATGATATGTTTGAAGAGTAAATATATCAGTTTGATCTTTTAAAAATGGTATCCGATGTGTTTCAGAATGAGTAAGTTCATCAAAATTTGTATGCCCATTTGTTCCATAAAGTTTAATACGTATAGGTGCATTTGTTGATGCACCATTACAATTTCCTGTTGTAATTGATATTTTATATTCACATAGAAAACCTTTATTAATTGGTTTGGATTTTTTCATCTTTTATTAATAAGAAAAAGAAAACAGATAAGTTTTAAATTGTTTTATTTTATACTTACAATAGATGTTGATTTAGCAAGAGGATCATTTGCTGTTCGTTTTTCTCTTTTCGGTTGATGTTTTATTGAAAAAATTCGTAAATCAGTTGTTGGATAAGTTAGAGATGATTGAACATTTGATTGATCACTAAAAAAAAAGATAAATAAATAATATATATGTCGTTTGTTTTCTAATCATTATTTACTCAGTATGACGTGGAGAAAGATTCGGATTTTGCGAAATATATATCGTTGGTGTCTAGATTTGTTTTGAATGTTTAAAAAAAGAACTTTTCTTTATTCATACAATTCACCTGTTGCCCTAATAAATTCGTTTCATGAATTGAACGTCGTGATTTAACCATAGATGCAAGAATATCCGCTGCATCATCAATTAATTGATCTTGTTCATGACGTGTTAATCTGTATGCTGATCGTGGTTGAGAATCACGATGAACACCACATGATGAACTTGATCGAATTGTTGGTTTTAAACGAAGTTCTGATAATTTTTGACCTTCTCTTGGCTAGAGAAAAAATTAATATAAAATTAAAGATTTTTCTTAATTTTATTCTTTTACTGAAAAGTTATATGTACGCATATGAAAATTTAATTCTTCACGGCACATTTGTTTTTCAGGACTCGTTGTACTTGACTAAGAAATACATATTTTAAATAAATATTAATAAAATAATAATTAAACTTTACATGAAGTTGTCTTTGTTTTTGTTGAAAACTTGGTAAATGACTTGTATTATCTTTATCTGCATAATAAGAACTATAGAGTGATAGATGTTCTTTAGTTGTTCCATAATTAAATTTCTGAAAATTATAAAATATTTTTCTTTTTATAAAAAAATATTCATGTCTCATTTACTGTTTTGAGTGATGTTGAGTCACGTATAGATGAATTCGGATTAAGAACAAAAGCATTTTCACGACGTTTTACATCCATATAATATTTCCTCAAAGAAAATAACGCAATATAATTATTTATATTGAAATAAAACTTACAAATTTTTTGATGTTTCTTTTATTATAGCATGTGTTAATCGATCCATAAGTGGTTTTGTACTTGTATCCGTATTATTACGAGCTACATGAGCCATAACTATTTCGTTGTCTTTTAACACTCACTCGATCACTGTTGTCAAGTAAGTGTTTACAGATTTTTTTCGCATAATAACCTAAATATACGATCGAAATTAATTTAGTATTGCTTTCTCATTTCTTCTTTTCTTTTTTCTTCTCTTGATTCAATTCAATATAATTACCTTCGTCTTCTGTCGTGTCTATAAATAATAAGGTTTCATAAAGACTGAATTGTTCATTTTTTTCTTCTTCTTATGCTTCTATATATTACCTACAGCAATAATTTCTTTCTTTCTCGTTTGCAAGTCCTTCGTTAACAAAAAAAAGAGAAAAAGATTCTTTTTCTTTGTTTTACTTCACTTTGGATTCAAATCGTGACGACTGAGTTCGATAATTCTTTTCTTTTTTTCTCCTCAGAGTTACGATATATAGTGAGAATATATATATATAGTAATAATAATAATAATAATGTTTTTTTCGTAAGGAAGAAGCTGACAAATAAGAGGGGAGAATGTAAAATCAACACAAGATGTTTGTTACCGTAGTTATCGTTGAGAAGTGAAGAAATAAAATTGGATCTGTTTTATAGAAACAAAGATTTTTTAGAACAACTTAAACTTGTATAAAAGCCAATGAGCAACAAAAATTTATTAATTAAAAAAATATATGACAAGGCTTTTCGTTGTTCACTAAGAATTTCAATTTTGACTTATTGAATTCGAGTTTTATTTGTCAAACAAAGATTTTATTGTGTTTCTTTATCAATACTTTCAATTGCTTCATTCATAAAACAATGATCGAGATTATCGACGAAACGAAGTTTGTAAATATTCCTGAACGATATATTCATAAAAGATATTTTTCTGATAAATATTCAAAAATTATTTTTTATTTGATTACGAAACATTATTTACAGTAAATAATCTTTAAAAAAAAGCCATTTCGAAATTATTGTTTTATCAACAGAAAATCATGATCAGATAATATTTGCTAATGAAAAACTTGTCAGTACGGTCAGATGAGGACCGAAAGTGCAAAACTCACAAACTCTGATTGTTATAGATTTATTGTGTACTGTCAGAGGAATTAAAATAATACATTAAAGAAATTGACAAAATACATCCATTTTTATAGTTGATATGCGCGCTCTGGAATTTTACCGTTTTGAAAATATTTGCCTTCACAATTCTTATTCTGTCAATTTATTAAATTTTTCTACTGAAAAACTTTCTATTGTTAGATAAATCTTCAATAACTAAAAATATCTCATATGAAAAGGCAAATATCATTGTACTCTTCGTTTCGTCGATTCAACTATCATATTAGCCTATTATACACTTTAATTTAATATTTTATTAAATTTTCGAGCACATTACCCATTCACTCGATGGACTTTGACATATAATATTGAGTTTTGCCTAAATTCAGAACTTAATTAGTTCATATTTTTCTACGTCGGTCCTGTTTTGTCTCTGATAGATCAATAATTCCACCGTCCTACGGATCAATATCTTCAATAAGATCCTTTCGCGGTATTAAATACAAAAACAAAACCCGCACATTTTAGACTATTGTCGTTTTCAAAAAGCAATTGCCCAGACTGATTTTTGAATAACTTTTAATAGGAACGAGATTGAGAGATGTGATCTTCATCATTGCGAAGAGAAGATTCAAGCGTATAAATATATGCTGATATTTGATTGACCAACGCTAAACTAATCAGATTAATTCTTGATGGACATTTTAAAACTGATATTCTGGCCGACATTTCTAGCTTGTTCTGTTTAAGAGTGATAAGGATTTTCTTCAGACCTCTGATCTCAATCAATTGACTTGGGATCACTCGGAAAATCATCTAGGCAGCGATAATTCATCACATTGAGTTGAATGGGGATATTTATTTTTGAACTTAAAATGATCTGGCACTATTATTTCAGTATTTCCTTAGTTTTACAATCTGCTACTAACTAGCATATTAAGTTTACATGTCATTAATATTGATATATCAGTGTCCGACCATTTTGAATCCAAAAACAAATATCATCATTCAACTCAGCATGATGAATTACGCCTATGTTGAGGTCTTTTAAAGTCTTCCAAGGTCAATTTGCTGAAATCAGAGATCTTGGGGAAATCGTTGGAACTCTTGAGCGAAACATGCTACAGATCTAGAGTATGCGTAGATTAAAAACGAGACGAATATTGCCTATTGGTTGTTCATATTCCAAGTTGAAATCCAATGGAAAATGGCTTCAGAATATCTTTTTTCAAAATCTCTCCAGAGAATCCACTCGACTGATCAGTTGTTGATCAATCAAGTCTTGATATACTTCGATGATCTCAGGATCTTCTCTCTTGAACAGTGAAAGCCTCAAGCCTCTATGTTGTTCTTATCAAAAGTTATTCAAAAAATCGGCAGTAGAAATCTTAGATTCATAGAATGTTTTGAAAGATTATAGAAAATTTCTCAATGACCTAAATACTGTTACTACTACTGATGTGCCTTTCTCCGTTGTTGGAAAAAAATTAGTCAATGATCTTTTGCTTTCCTTTTGCCATCCTTCATGGCTAGAGTCTAGAAGTCGCGAGAGTCTTGATTTAAACTTACACTCACAATTTTTTTTCGAACATATATGTAAGAAAGTTCTCATCCTAACTCTCTTTTTAAATTTATCGATTAAAAAAGGAAAACAAAACATGATTCTACTATTATTTACTTATTTGTGTTAGATCAAGTATCCGATATGTATATACGTGTTTTTGTCAATAATGATTTTTTGAATTTTTTATGATATGAAAGAACAATAGAAACAGAAAAAAAGTAATAAAAACTACGATAACAGTTTATAACAATACAAATAATCATCACGTGAACCAACAATAATATAATCAAGATAAGAAACAGGTGAAGAAAATAGTCCATTACCATCAACTTGTGTTTCACAAATTACTTCTCCTGTTTGAGTATTTAATATACGTAAACAACCATCTGTTGAAGCAGCAATAACCATTCGACCATTATCATAAACAAACGATGATGAATAAATCATTGATGGAAATAAAGATTTCCATTGTAAAATACCTTCTCGTTCAGTAGAAAGATCAATTGCATAAAGATATTGATCGTGACAACCGATAAACAAAGTATTATTGAAGATACAAGGTGAAGAAAATATTGGACCATTTGTTAAAAAGGACCATTTCTAAAAGAACATTATCTGCATGTTAATTCATACTTAATGTAATTGATGTGATGTTTCGTAGAATGTTTTATTATTTCATTCCAATATTAAGATCTCCTGCTAATAGTGCTAACTATAAGTGTACGAATATTTACAATAGTAGCTAAAAGAAGGATTCTTAAACAAAAATAATATCAAAATGAATTTGCATAAGATTTGATTGACACTAAACATAACATGAGAAATAAGTTCATATTATTTTCTTACAAAAGACAAACTTATGGTTCATCCATTACAATCATCTAATGTTTGATTTTTAGACATATATAGTTATTCAGCTATTTTTAAAATCTAAATGTCATCATTTAAACTACTTTATAATCAAAATGCTCAAATTGAGACCTATTATAAAGTTGTTAAAAAATATTTCTTAGTTGGATAGAAACAATGAAAGTTCGTACCGAATATTACACCATCTACGTTGAACAGTTGATATAGAGATAACAGCAATATATCTTTTTTTAATGCATAATTTCTTTCAAGAAAAAAAAATAGTACTTTTTCATGGACCTAAATAGTGTACTGTTTTATCCTTCGAAAAACCGGCAATCTGCTCTGTACTCATCGCATTCTTCCATTAAGATTGTTACATGACCTTTGTACCGATTATAAGAAATGTAGCATTATGTAAGATATACAGGTCCGAGAACTTCAGAGCTGATGGATTCTAGTCGTCTGAGAAATATTGTAGGGTACCTTAGTCATCGAACATAAAGAACCGGAAAATATTATCTCGTATCTTCGAGATGCCTATCCAATTCCGATGAGAAATTTTCATTAAGAATGTTAAAGTACAATTCGATCGAGTCTGGATTCAAAAATTTTCAACCCGACCGATTCTAGTGTGTGGGAAGGGTTTATATTGTTACTTCGATACTTCAACACTCCTTATAGATCATATTTCACAAAATTTACCTGTTGACCATTACTACAATCTAAACAATAGAGTTTTTGATCAACACAACCAACAAACAAAAATTTTTCATTCCATATAGCTATCGTAGAAAATACTGGTTTATTTAATGATTGTTTCCATAATAATTTTCCATCGTTTGATTCAAATGCAAATACATCTCCACCTAATGATGCAACAAAAAGTCGAGTATTATCTGTTGATAATTGTGGCGATGATACACAACTACTATTTAATCCGAATTTCCAAATACATTTTGAAGATGCTTCCTAAACAATAAATTAAATAAAATGAAAATTTTTGTCATAAAAAGAAAATTATACTTGAATATGAATAGCATGAATAAATTGATCATGAGCACCAAGATAAATCATATCAATTGAACGATGAATACATGGAATTGTTTTAATTAAACCTTGACATTGATATGATGAATAAAGTTTTCCATTTGAACATTCAATTATATATAAAATTCCACTATAATCACCTAAATATATATTAATAATTATAGATATTATTTAAAAAAGAAATATTTACCAATAAGAACAAATTGTCCATTTCTTGAAATAGTTCCACTTGCTTCAATTCTATCATTAGCTTGAAATGACCAAATAAGTTGACCATTATCAATTTGATAAGTATTAATCAAACCAGCATGTGATCCAATAATTACATATTGTCGATATTCATCAAGTAAAATAATTAATGGAGATGCATCAATACATTTCATCATTGAACATTTCCAATTTAATATCAATTTTTGTGTTGAAAATTTTAATTCTTTTGGAAATGAAGAATATTGATACATTAAATGATTTTTATTATGAAGAAATATTTTTGAACATCTTTGAATCGACCAGATATCATTTAAATTTGATTCCAATATTGTCGTAGGTGGTAAACTAGATGAAGAATACTCAATTGATTTTTCTTTTTGTTGTTGTTGTTGTTGTTGTTGTTGCTGGGGATTGTTTATATATTCAATTATATCTCCAAACGTTTTATGTAAAATAAGATCAAATAAATAATTTGTATCAATTGATAAATAAAATTGTTTGATTTGTTCAATAAATGTTAAAGCTAATAATGAATTTCCACCATTGAAAATAAAATTTGAATTTGTATCAGGAATTATATGTAAAAGATTCTAAAAAATTAAATGAATTATAGAAATAAAAATGTAAGAAATTTTTATTTTTTTCTAAACCTGCCACATATTGATTAAATTATTGGTTGAAGAATTTTCTATTGTATTTAAATAGAGTGTATATAATTTTGTACGATCAATTTTTCCGTTAATATTTAATGGAATATTTGATTGTAATGAAAGAATTATATTTGGTATAAAATGATGTGATAAATTTGATTTAAGAAATGAATTAAGTGCACTTATTTGATTTTCAACTTTAAATTTACATAGAAGTATCAATAGATTTTCATCTTCATTTAAAGTCAAACAAGCACATTCATCAATTAAATTTGATTGAGCTGCAATCTAAGATAAGATGTTTTTTTCTTCAATTAAAAGATAATTTTTCGCATACAAATAAAGAATTGATTTTGTTGAAGTATCAACATATCGAAATTGGAGGATATTATATCTTTCAGCTATCATTACCATTTAGAATTCTATCAAATATACCTTCATTAGCTCTATGTATTGCGTCTAGTTCTTATATTGATTTGTGTTTAATGCTAAAAGTTATCTTACCACATTGTTTCTCTCGCTCACTCATTTGAGTTTCTCATACAAACATAGTATATAATCTCGAAAGATCGGCAAAGCAAATAACAAGAGCTTCGTGTGTGTCACAATTTAGTCAGTGTTCCATTAGATGAGTATATTTAAGAAATTAACCTATAACACAAAAGTCTTGTCACGATACATTTATTCATTTTTCAGCCACTAGAAACAACTGATTAGAGCCAAAAGCAATTAGTTAGAAGCAGATTTTTTCGTTCTTTTCAAAAGTGTTCAGAATTTTCTTTTTGGGGAAGATTCGACACCTATCATTAGATTTTTTCAAAATAGTAGTTGTACCGAATACCATTTTAGTCAATTTTGTATTTCCCTTGAAACTTATTGAATTCGAAATGAGAAACAATTTTCAATGGATCAGTCTTGAAGGGCAAAACTTGCTCTTTACAGTCCGCTTTTTATTTTTGTATGACAGATTTTAAAACTTTTTGTATTTTTAAAAGCAGGTTTTGAAACAGTGAGTTTTTTTAACTAAGGTCGCTTTCTATAGAGACTGATTCTTTAGTGGAAACCAATAAATAAGAGTTTTTCTTATTATAATATCTTATTTTGTACAAAATTCAGTGTTCTAAAATAATGTTGAATTGAAGCTGTTTCAAAACACAAACTAAGGACTGTGCTAAAACCACTATTTTGCTTTGCATAGACACAATTTTGGATTTTTTTCATAAAATTTATTGATAGGTGTTCAATATCCTATTTCAGAATGAAAATTTATACACATTCGAGAATTGAAAAAAAATTCTATCTCTAACTAGTTGGTTTTTAGTGACTGAAAAATGAACGAACATTTTGTGCCAAGACTTTCGCACATAAGATTAACTATAAAATATCTTAATTATAGTCATTTCATACGTTGATGATGATGGAGTTCAAACAGACTATCTCTAAATTACATAACGACCAACATAACTACGGTAATGCTAATTCATAATTGAAACCAATTACCGTAGTTATCAGTTACATTGAAAGCTTAAGATGTAAGTTTCGAGAAAAATAAATCTATTGAACTCTGTTTTTCGGTCATTTGTAAAAGTAGAAACTTTTCAGATGAAAAAGTTTCATTAGAAAACCAATATTAATATTTCGAGATTTTCTCTTATTGTTAATCATACTTGTTCGATATATTCAAGATTAATCATAACACCCAACCGTTTTCGTGTTAACGTTCTTCTACCAACATAAAATATTTGATCATTTAGTTGATCATAATGAATAAGATCATCAGTTTCAAATATAAATATTTTTTCTATTGATAAGTGTCCGATTTGTGTCCAACGTGTTTGACTCTCTGTACTATTAATAAATAATATTCAAGCTCTATTTAAAAAAATACTAGACAAAATACTACCTAATATGATTTGAAAATAATCAGTTTTTGATTGATTATCAATATATGGCTTCAATATTAATGATGTTTCATTAAGTGCTTTACCCAATGGAATACCATCTTGTCTTCTATATTATCAATTAGAAATTACTTTTTTGTATTTGAAAAAACAAATACTTTACTCAAGATCATTTTCATTCAAAATATAATACGATGCCCAACAAGACATTTCAGTCAAACCATATATATTCACAACACGTTTATTTTGTCTAATCATTTGCTGAATAGTTATATTTGATATATGTGGAAATTTTTCACCTCCAAGTATCAATGTTTTCAATTGCAACATATTACAATGTGTATTTATTTGACGAAAAAAACTAGGTGTCATCTAAAATGATTCGATTGCAATACAAAAAAAAATGGAAACAATAAAAATTAATACTTGAGCGATTGTACAAAGACTTTTATCGAAAATAGATGATATTAATATTGGATTTCGACGAATATCTTTTGATAAAATACAAAGACAAGCACCACAATGAATAGCAACAAAGATATCAACTAATGATGGATCAAACGTTAACGGTGTTGAACGAAATAAACAATCATTGGATGTTACATTAAAAATTGATCTTCAAATATTTATATACTTTAAGTTCACAATTTATTTAAGATTATAAACATACTTTAATTGATCTAGATTCGGCAAGATACATGCATGAGAAACAAATATCAATTTAGGAATACCTGTCGAACCTATCAGAAATAAATCATTCATTTTAAATACAAATCAAATCATTCATAATATTCAAGTTTCCATTATACTTAACAGAGATGGGATCAGTTCGAGTCTAAGAAAAAAATCACGAACCGATTCCACCTCTAATACTTCATTGCTATAAAGAATTATAAAAGGGTGACTGAAATTTCGCCAATAAGACTTTTATCAATAGCGCAATTGCAGAGAGTTATATTAGCAAAAGTAGCGTAGACTTTCGCAAACTGTCATGAACTAATATTAATATAGTATACATAGGAGAGTTGCAGCTAATATTATTAGAGTATATATGTCACAGCTTATACTTAGGGTGTGTTCGAATATGAGCGAGTTATGTTTTGAATAAGGAGAAAGCGAGAGATTAGTATGATAAAGCATAACCTAATGTTCATGAGGCAGTGAATCTGATTTATTAGTTTCGTTAACAATGTTTTTTCTTAAGTGGTCTGAGATCGCAATGTAGCAATGTGGCATCAATAGAACAATTTTTATCTGAAACAACATATAAAATTTATGGATACGACATAGACGAACATAACCTATCAAAGTAGTCAATGGAGATCTTTTAATCTATATCTAATTCACAGTGGAATCGATGAAATTTCAGGGGATATATTGGCAAAAGTCTGATTGGTGAAATTCCGAAGATCTTCAATAAGTTATAAATTCCTAAACAACTAAATATCTTTTCTTCATTTCTTGTCTTGAATTTATGAGTTGGTAAATGGTATCTTTTTTTTCAAATAAGTCAAACAGTCTTCTATTTTATTTAGTTACATAGATCAATTATTCTCATTTCTTGATTACCGATGTTAAAGCAACATTGTTCATGACAACTTGGATCATCTTTTGATACATTCATAGTGAATAACTTGAAAAATAGTTTTTTTTAAAGTTAATTTATTTTTTATATTCCCGATTTTCATACTAAAAATTTCATTAGAACTAATAGCCAGTCAAAAAGTATTCCACGATTGTTTTTACATAATTTCTTATCGGTAGAAGATAAAAAAAATCTGCAAATTTTGACATGGCCTTTCATCTAAACGATACCTTAACAATAGGAATGGATGATTTCGAACCGAGATCAGAACCATTGATTGCGTCTTATAAAAATAAAATGAAGGCTAACAATATCGACATGATCCAGAAAAGGAAAAAGAACGGATTCCAAGCTGAAAATAGCCGCATTTTCAAGTGTCTAACCATATAGTCTCCCTTGAAAAGGCTAATTTTTCAAAAAAACTACATCGTGATAAATAGATTTTCAGCCTTGTACAGATAACATGACTGCATAATTACGAAAGAATGCAACTTTTATGTCATTTAAGATGAATGGGCCATTATGCATCTCCCCAATGCAATGACTTATCTCAAATTAAATCATATCAGTACCATAATCAGCATCTGCATAAGCTATTTCGTGATTGGCTCAACATTAATTCTACTTGATTACTGCCAAGCGTTAAAGGGTTAATTTTCTAGATTCCGAGTATTCAGTTGAATTTTAGCTGATCTACAGTGAAGACTCTGTTTTCATAAATAATTTCACTTTGAAGAGGAATTTGACTTGTGCATACTTTTTTTCGATACGAAAGGTTGAAATTTCTTTTTATTCATTTGTCATAGCTATTTCAATAGATATATGTTAAAATAATCATTAACATACTGGTCTTAGAGACACTATATTTCACATCAATTCATATGGAAATATGGAAGGTCAACATTTTTTGCAGTAAAATCTTTCTTGTAAATTCAAAATAGAAAATTTATAGAAGACACAAGTAAATATGATCTCTTAGTATACCTAATTATCTAATTAAAGGAAAAGAAAAAATCGTAAATAATTAGATCACTGTTACTAAAAATCTTCTTGGATAATTCAATAAAAATGTGCTTATTTTTTCTGAAAACAAGATTTCGTCACTGTAATTTATTAAAGATTCTAATGAAAATTTTCTTTACCTGATGAAGCAACTACATAAACAATATCTTTGTAAAAACATTCAGTTTTCATTTTAAAAAAATCAATTTGTTGATCAAATAAAACAATGGATGATACAGTAACATGATTGATCACTTCATCATAAATTTTAGCCTAAATAATCTTATAAAATAAATTGCAGCATGATTTACAAAAAAAGAATTTTACTTTATTTTGACATTGACAAATAAATAATGATGGTTTAAGTTCTTTGATATAGTTTGTTAGCATATTTTCAGACCAATCAGAATCACAAACAAAAAAAGAATTATTTGATTGAAGTATTCTAATAAAGAAAATTCTTTTAAAAAATTATTAGACAGAAAATTATAATCTAACCCCAATATAAATGGAATAGTTAAAAATGTTTCTTCACTATCAATTATAATCAATTGTTCATGAATATTTAAATTTAAAATTTGTTTATAAACCTAAAAAGAAAAAAGGAAAAATCATATTAGATAAATTCAAAAGAATTTATTTACTTCATTTGTAAGAGCTGATATCTCCACATGAGTTAAGATTCTCATTGATTCTGAAACATTATCATGAAAATATTTGATAGCAAGATTTTTGTTCATTTGTAATGGCCATCCATTACTTGAAATCCATTCCCAAACCGTCTTGAAAGTCATTAGAATTCAAGTATTCTCCTTCGATGCAGAAATCAGTCTAGTTTTTCATGATTGTAGCGCTTTTCGTTGATTAGCTGGCCTCTTTTATCCAATAAACTGATCCTGAACGATCCAATAGTAAACAAAATCGGTTGTCATTTCTTTTTCTCTAAAGAATTTGTCATAATTGGTATCTCATTCACTATGTGCCATAAATATGAAAGTTTCTTTACCATGCATTCCTCTTCTTTTCTATATCAACTATCATGGCTCAATTATGTGGTAAGCAATGTGATCTATTTCGAAATAAAAATCATTCTTTTCTATGTATGAAACGCAATGTCATATAAAAAAAGATTTCGTTAGACGTTCAAAGTTCAAAAACCCATAATATTCATAGCGATTTATAAAAAAGAAATTCTACAAGAATTATTTGAAGAATAAACGACAAACTATTGAATAGAAAATAGTTCAATTGTCTATCAATGGTCATTAATTATTTAAGAAAAAAAATCATATCATTGTTAAAAGTAAACATAATCTATATAATTTTATTATTTTCTTAGCTGTTAACCATAATCATCGTTTATCGAATGAAAATATCGTTCGGCGTATTATTTTAAGTAAAAATATACTAAATGATTATATAGAAATTATCATTCTTGTAACATATTATAATCTTATCTATTCAATATTCATGCAGTTTCTTCTATTCCAAATATTCAATCAAGTAGTCTTGGTGATTTGTAAGTTGTTTTTCATTATTGATTCGGCAAATTGTGATATAATTTGCAATATTGTTTACTACTTTTTCATGACCTTCGATAGCAATAAGTAGATCTATTCTATTCTTCTTTGTCGACAAAAATATATGTAGAAAGAGCAAAAAAAAACTGAGATCATTTACAAATAATAATTCTTCTCGCGTCAGCAAGTCAATTTTTATTCTTGTAGTTGTAGAGTGCAACATGCGCATCTTACAACCATCATTCTGTTATTAGTTACTTTTCTAGCACTTATGTTCTGCCACTTTTTTGACAGTTCTCGACACGCACATATAACCGAACGAAGAAAAAATCTATATTGACAAGTTAGTTACAAGAATGAATCGAGCAAATCGTGTAGCAATAAAAGAATATTTGTAAATATGTAAGAATTTAGTGACATTTATGAAACAATGTAAGAGAAAATCGACAATATTGTTTTCTGTGTAAAAAAAAAAAAGAAAGAATCAATCGTCTTGTGTGGGTCTCGAGAGATCGTCAAGTATTGTCATAAAGGATAAACCGATTGGATATAAAAAAGGAAGAAGAAAAAAAAAGAATAGATCATGATTATCATGAAAAGGAAGTAGAAAAACTACAACTACTACTACTACTATACCTTGTTCGATTTATTCCATTCTGTAAAAAAGACATGAAGGAGATAGAGAGATAGAGGGAGAGAGAGTGATAGAGCGAGAACAAGAAAATTTCTTGTTGACAGCGAAGTAAGGATTATTTATTATTATTATATGTGAAAGTAGAGATATTGTTTTCAATGATTATTAAAGTCATGAATATATAGGAAATTTGTTGTTTTAGCATTTATTCCAAATACTAATAACAGTGACGAAAGACAAATCGGTTTGTGTGCATACGAAGGATATTTTGTCATGAAATTAGATTATTGGTAGAATGCAATGATAGAGCAGCGTTCTTCTTTCTTTTTTCCTTCGTCTTTTCCTCTTGGTGCCACATCGAGGATTTTATGGAAGAAGCCAAGGTTGCCTCTGACGATGTGTTTACGCTTACATGTATATATATAGATTTTTCTTCGATTCTTTTAGAAATGGTCAACTATATAGAGCCGATCAAATTGTATATGTAAAAGCTATTTATTTGAATTCATACGATTTGACACTTGCTAATTGCGCTCATCAACGACTCGTTGATTCAAGACAAGTATCAATTGAACTTGTCATTATTACAACAACTTTTACCATTGCTTATTCTCATGCGGCTGTGTCAAAGTCGAATAAAAATGGACACAGCTGTATTCGGATATTGTCGGCGCTTGTTAACGTCGACATGGTGGTAAGATAGCAATTAATAGATATATACATATAAAAAATAGAAAAATATATGTTTATACTCGGGCTATATTAATTGTTTAGCTAAACACATTGTGGACACAAATTGAAGTGGTCGATATAATCAACGACGGGTCCGGACTTGGCTTTGGCATTAGTGGTAATCAATCAACGGGTGTTGTTGTCAAAGCAATTGTACCTGGTTCGATTGCCGATAAGGTAATATCTGTGGTATCTTATAATTTTCTATTTTCGTAAGTTCTCTTTCTTATGCTTCCAACTGCTTTTCAAATCGATGGAACAAAGGACAACAGAGAGAAGAAAAAAAACATAGATAGAGAAGAAAAAAAACAGAAAGAAAATAAATTTGCCTAATGAATGATAGCTAGTAGTATGTATATATCTTTCCAGAAAAAGAACAGAAAAACGATGAGAGGAAAACGGCAAAAATAAGAAAAACAAGCAGTCTTTTGCTTTTACATACAAGCAAATCTTATGAGCTATATGTCAAAGAATTCTTAATATCCGTTATGATTTTCTTTTTTTTCTCTATTATTATCTAGGATGGTCGTATACATACGGGTGATCATTTATTTCAAATAAATCATGTTTATGTACGTGGTATGAATTCGGAACAAGTAGCTGGTATACTTCGACAATGTTCAGAACAGGTTCGTCTTGTTGTTGCAAGAAATATACGTGAACCAACGACAACAATAAATACTACACCATCATTATCTCAAAATCCTTCATTAATATCGGAAAACTTTATTCGTACAAGAGATTCATCATCATCAATGATTACTGATAATGATGGAATTATTAATAATTCACAAAATAAAATTCTTCTTCGTACTGAACGTTTACTTGAAAGCACTCATAATTTAGAAAAAATTCTTAATAATCTTGTTGATCAGGTTTGTTCTCTTTTTCTTTTTGTTATTGATATCATTTTGAAAAAACAAAATTGATTATCAAAAACATGAAAATGTTTGCATGTTATGTTTTTTCTCAGAATAGTATAAATATATATATATATATAAATATATATTTCTTTCGTTTTTATTATTCTTTCCGTTTTTTTTTCATTCATCCTTCAAATCCCTTGAGCACTGTCTTCTTTTCACTCTTCATCATTCTCTACTCAAGAGTCTTTACACAGAACACAAGCATGACAGGTTTCTTTAGTAGTCAAAGTATTAGGAAAACTCTGAGGAAAGGCAAGAAAGAGAAATAAGCATTTATATGGCAAATATGTGTTTTCTTTGTCGTCGATTCTATTTAAGAGATAACGACAGTGTCAGTCGATTGTCGATTGTTAATCTTGGGAATTTTCTTTTTCTTCTTTTTGTTTCCTTTGGAATCTTAGGCCAGAAATCATTGAGTAGATAACAAGCTATTCGTTTGTCTTCTTTATATAAATGCCGCTATTTTGATTGCATCAATATATTTAGTGTCAATGCGAAGATGGAACAGAAGTATTGGACGTTACACTTGAAAAAGGTGATGATGGCTTAGGTATAACTGTTGCTGGTTATGTCAGTCCTGATTCAACTAATGATGGTAAATATTATAGTTGTTGTTTTCTTAATAAGAATTACGACTAATAATAGATTATTGAAAAATGATTTATAGATTATGTTATGAATGAGAATTTGATTAAGTGACAAAGGTTTGTTCTACACTTAAGGAAAGTCTTAATACGTGTATATTTCCTTTTATATTGATACTTAAGACTAATCATATGAATTGTACATTGAGTTGATTGTCCTGAGTCAAATGGTTTTTTTTATAATATTAATACAAATGTTCATATGTTTAAAACTAATATATTTATTTTGAAAAATTAGGAAATAATAGTTTAGATTTAAAATATGAAGAAAAAACACAGATCAATGTGAATCTTTTGATCAAATAACTACTTTTAACGATATTTTCTTTTGTTGGAGTCTTATTATTAAAATTCAGTTAAAATGTTTGGTAACTTCCATTTTCGCCGATTCCAATATCGCCGACTAATTTTTTTGACCGAAAATTACCAAGTCAAATATGAATCATTCTATATTAAGAGTTTTTTCCAATTTAATAAGTTTATTAACAAACTCATNTCTTTTTACATAGGAAGGTAGAGCGAAAAAAACTCTTTCTTTCTATGCTATTTGAATGTACTTCAGGTGACATCATAATAAAAAGATCCTAATAAGACTAGTTTGCCTAACATGTGTCACGGTTATAGAAGCTCATACTGTCTTCAATAGGCATTCTTTCCTTGATCTTTTCTTTGTTTTTCTTCTTTCCTTTATTCTTTCCCCTCACTCTTCTGAGATTTTACCATTTATCATATGTATACAAAGATACATGCGTCTTTTTGTGCACGTGTCGTGTACTACTCTATTCTATAGAAAGTGAAAGAAGTAAAGTTAAATCGAATCTTACTACCCTTCATTTTTGTTTTCAATGAACAAAGAAAATTTTCGCTTCTACATTAAAGTACGTACAGCGCTTAATGCTGAAGCAACAACTACTCACGACGAGCTATGCATTGTTTTCGGCGATGAACCTCCTTCTTATCGAACAATTGCAAGATGGGCTCAATGGTTTCGTGAAAGTCGAGAAGAAGTTGAAGATGAAGAACGATCCGAAAGACCTGTAACTGAGAGTACTCTTGAAAATATTGGAGAAATTCGTAGTATTGTTAGTGATGTTCCTCATGCTACAATAGCAGGATTACAAGAGCATACTGATCTAAGTTATGACACCGTTCATAGAATATTATCTGATCATCTGGAGCTTAGAAAAACTACTGCTCGTTACATACCGAAACAGCTAACGGATTATCAAGGGAGTGAACGAGTTCGAATATGCAAAGAAAATCTGTCAAGATTTACAGAAGGAAGATAGCGTTTGTCTGACGTGGTAACCGGTGATGAATCGTGGTTTTTCTATCAGCAAACTGGTCGAAAAGTTTCCAATGGTGCTTGTGTGGCAAAAGACGATTCTCCGCCCACAATAGTGCGACGAAATAAGTTTGCTCCAAAAACTCTATTCTGAATTTTCTTTAAATCAACTGGTCCTCTTCCAATCCATCGTGTCGAATGTGGATAAACTATCGATCACCAATATTACATCAAAAATTGTTTGCAACCTGTTATCGAAGAGATCAAGAAGCAAAGACCTCTCTCACGTACTCATGCCATCAAACTTCATCATGATAACAGAGGAGCACATTTTCATGCAGACGTACTCGATTATCTTCGTTCAGAAGAAATTACCGTAGTACCGCAACCACCAAATTCTCCGGATCTGTCTCCGTGTGATTTTTGGATGTTCGACTTGATTAGACGAAATCTAACTGATCAAACTGATTCCGAATCGTTGCACAACGCTATAATGGAGTTCATATATTCTTTGGATAAAGAAGAGTACAGAAAAACGTTCGATAAATGAATTCAAAGAATGGACTTGTGTGTAGATAATCAAGACAATTACTTTGACCAATTAATGAAATAAAAACTACTTGAACTTGTTTATGTATTTTCAATTTTCGGGTGTGCTAATCTGAATGAACGTTAACGTTTCGAAGGAGGTGAGAGGAAAGAATAAAGGAAAGAAGAAAAACAAAGAAAAGATCAAGGAAAGAATGCCTATTGAAGACAGTATGAGCTTCTATAACCGTGACACATGTTAGGCAAACTAGTCTTATTAGGATCTTTTTATTATGATGTCACCTGAAGTACATTCAAATAGCATAGAAAGAAAGAGTTTTTTTCGCTCTACCTTCCTATGTAAAAAGAAAATTATTTTCTCAACCTTAATATGTGGTAGCAAAATGTCGTTGCCACTACTTTTGGATACCCCTATGTAATAAATCTGACAATAAATTCCTTTTTTTACCTTTTTTTCTACACATCGCTGACGTTTCGTTGTTGAAAGCCAAATTCTTCAGAGAGAATGAAGGTCAATACTGAGTAGGGCTGCCAGGGCTCCTGTTCCAAATTGTCAATCTTCATCATCCGATTACATCTGTTGAATAGATAGATATAAGCCGTATTGCAAGCGGCTGGAATCTAGCAATGCATAGCGATGGGTTGCTAGAAGCGCAAGGGCATTCTCATTGGAAATTGTGAAACCCAAGACAAAAATAGAAACCGTTCATCCTAACTCTCTCGTCACTCAAACAATGGGGGTGCAGACAGTGCCGCAGATCCACGATTCTGATGTAATATATGCACATCAATTTTTAGATCTTCAGGCCTCATTCACTGCGATCCACAGAAGAGGCAGACTTTTGTCCACTACTGTAAAACACTACGAGATAACATCGGCAATGATAAAAGACTAAGGTCAATCTAAAACAAAGTTTAGCAAGTATTTTTTGAATAACTGTTGATAGGCACAAGATAGTGGTGTGAGATTTTCACTTTTAGAAAGAGGCTTATCCAGCACATCGATTCATATAAAATTGTTGAGATTTATTTCATAAATAAGTAGTGGTCCATGATCATCTTGGAAGAGTGGCTATTGTTCTATAACGATAGGAGGCATTACACTGGGTTACATGAATTTCGACCCCCAATTTTTATTGTCTCGGACTTTCGGCCCGGACCGAAATTCCGGTGATATTTTGGCCCGGGCCAAAAGTCCGAAAGGAATTTTGGACTGAAGCTTAATTTATTTAATTAATTTGATAAATAATTAATAAACTTCATGACGCTTAGCGCTATACACCCCTAATAAAACGTTGTGCTCAGCAGCATGACATGTTGCTCAGCAAGATAACATAGTGCTCAGCAGTTGGACATGATGTTCGGTGAGATGACATAATGCTTAGCAGTATGATGTTGTGCTCAAAAATACAACATTGTGCCTGGCACACTCTAAAAAAAAAGCGTTTTCTCAGAAACCAACACATGTTGGAAAATCATTTGGAGAAGGNAAAACTTGTTTTTCTTTACCAAGTTAAGACAGATTCTTTTAATTTTGACGTCGTCCACAACTCACATTTCCTGCTTATATGTACTGTTGATAACAAAATGATCTGTCTTAACTTGGTAAAGAAAAACAAGTTTTAATTATAAAATTTAGCTATTTCCAACTATTTTGTATGCCCAAATTTATGTCAAAATTACAACACTGAGCCATCTTTTTTTATTTCTTGAATAAAAAGTTCCATCGTCTTGTAAATTGGAGATAATATACTTGATCGATAGGGACTACTATACACAAATGTTCATTGAAAACCAATGAAGTCAAAGCTTATAATTTAATTTTTCACAAAACCTCTTTTATGATATATCGGAGTTCCGTTTCAGATACATCTTGAAGCCTTCAACTTCATAAAAACAATATTTTTTCTAAAAGAAAGTTATGACATCCCATATAGGCAAATCTAGAAAACAAGTTTTCATGAACGAAATTTTTCCGGATCGCATTCTCAAAGTAGGGAACATAGTAAGGATTACTTTTTTCACTCGTATAAAATTAGTTGAAAAGATCGATTTTTAAAAATTTTGAAAGTAGCGGAACTTCGCTCAAGTGCAACCAACCCACGAGTTATTGTAATCCCAAACCCTTGGAGATTTCCTCTATAAACTGACAAAATTTGAGGATATTTCGATGAGAATTCTGTTCTCCTTCCTTTTAAGCCGAAGTTTTTCCTCTCCTCCATCTCCTCATTTTGGATTGGTATGAGTATGTGGGTGCTCTCGTGAATGTTTAGGTCTGGTATCGATGAGAAAAAGTATCACTAAGAAACACACTCACATTCAACACTTGTCCCCACATCCTAATTATTTTTTTATTTCATTTTTATATTAGATTACATTGCTTTTGTCGGTTCTTTTCATGTAATTAGCTCAATATTTCACGCTGACTTTTGTTAGTGCTGAGTATTATTTGTGCTGAAATTTTCCATTCTGAAGTCTCCATTTCCTAGATTTTCGAACCGATATATATTTGTTCGGAAACTTTAACGCGTTGTGAATGTGAAAATGGGCACATTTTACTGTTGCATTTTCGTTGCGACTTCAATGTTCCTTTAAGCGTTTTTTCCTTGTTCTTCTGAATGAGACGAAATATGAAAAAGATCTAGAATAACGGGTGGGTCGAAAGTTTTGAGACAAAAGGTTTATTCATTTTTCACGACCTCAAAAGTATTCTAGATGAATGCGAAAAGGGGGACAAGGATCAGAATTTATTGCTCTTTCTGAACATGAGTTCAGTAATTCGGTGTCTATTTTTTTGGAAGCAGTGAAGGAATCATTGATTTGCTTTAAAAATTGATTTGAACAAAAATATATTTTGCGCATTTTTGTATTTTCACTGTTTCAATTCGAAACTAAATAGTGTAGCTTTGGTTCATATATCAGATTGTAGAGCAAATTCTGCCCTTCACAATGCTCTATTGCAGTTTCTTTTTGTTTTCTTATTACCCTTGCTTTTGAAAAATCAATTTTTAAACCGTAATCGATCTCGTGTAGAAATCGTCTCTCAGAAAATGCTTATAGTTTTACTTGTGTAAAAGCTATATTGAAATTCGATATCATAATTTTTAGAGAACTGTCTGCTCTACAAAACCGCTATATTCAACCGTTTTTAGCATCTTCGCAGAGGACTCACAGGAGAAGCAAATGCCAATGTGTTCATCAACTAATCCAGTCTTCTGGCATGTTTGTAGATTTTGTCACTACTCTCGTACAGAGACAAATACAATATTTTTGAGCCCATGTTCAGAAAGAGCACAAAATTCTGGCAATTTCCTGTAGTTGTAATTCGTCTACGATACTTTTACGTAGGCCAAAAATAAAGAAAATATTTTCCAAAAGCTTCAACTCAACCATTTTGTCCAGATTATTTTTTTTATGCTCTACAAAGATTTTCTTGCTTCTCCCTTACAGAAATAGACACAGAGTTTCTGAACTCATGTCTGGAGAGAATATTAAATTCTAATCCTTATCCACCTTTTCGCATTCATCTAGAATATTTTTGAGGTAGAGACAAATGAACGAACATTTTGTCTCAAAACTTTCGGTTCACCCGTTAATTTAATTTAATCTGATCTATAATTTTAGCAAATTAGAAATTAAGTACAAATAATTTATATTTAGAATAAATTATGAAAAACAAAATTATATTTATAAATAAATATAAATTACCGATAACTTATGTTTATTTTAAATTAACAGGAAACTGATGCACTTAATTATGTTTGATGTAAAAGAATCCACCGGAAATAAATTCTAAATAAGAAAAATAATATTATCTTTGGTATCATGATTCAGAAAAAGTTAATTTCTATATCATGTCTTCTTAGGTCACAATACTTGTCCACAAGAACTTTTAATTTAATAAAAGTTTAAAATACTGCAGTCATATCACTTTTTACAACACAAATAATAAATAAATAGTTGTATTGAGAGACGTCAAATAACAACACTGATAAACAATAGTACAACATTCATTTACGTGTTAAAATCATTTTTGAATTTGAGAAAAAAAAAGATATGAATTATATTGAGAATACAATTTGTTGATTATAGTCATATTTTACGGAAAATCAAGTAAGTTCAACAGCAACTTAATGATTAGATCGAGAAAAGTTTAAATGTAACAGCCGTTCGAATCTTCGTTTCCAAAATAGAATACATTCTTTTCGAAATGTTACAGATGCCAATGTATAAAGAAAGAAAGTAATCTAAAAAGAAAATAAAAAATATTTTATCTTGTTTTTGAACGATAAAAAGAAAGAGAAATTTACTCCTGTATAGACGTAATGAAGATTCAAACCCATTCCACTCAAAAATCCTTCAATGGCTTGTTGTTCAGCATTTTTAATTTGGTTTCGTGTAATAACTTCACAAATTGTATTGTAACCATGAAGTGTATTGAAAACAATATAAGCAGCTACTTGTATAAGAGATAACTTGATGAATTGAATATCTTTCTTACGAAAGCGTCGTCTAAGATGTTGTATTTCATGGTTTAAAGTCATTAGGGTAGTCGGAGATACTTGATGATGAGCAGTATGTCGAATGTTGAAAAGAACAAGTACACTAAATATAACTAAGGTGAATAGAGGAGCAAGAGACAAAGTAACATTGTAAATTGTATAAAATAAAAAATATGCTGGCTCTGTCGATGGCCCACAGCTTCCATTCTTGTTAATAACATATCCAATAGATATAAATATATTAATAATAATTAGAAATGAAGTGCCTGCTATAATTGATCGTCGAATTACTTTAAGTGAACTTAGACGACGAATACTAATATTTCTCGAAGTAATCATCCAACGATCAATAGAAATTAAGCAGAATAAATAGCGAGAAATAGTAAGACCAAGCAATACAAAATAAATTCGAGTTTTACAAAATGCAAGTGAGATGGAACTGAGATCATATTGTGTCCATGCCCAAACAACTCGCGTTAAACATCCCGTATTGAGATAGAGAAGATGACCAATCGATGAACCAATAAAGTACCATGAACAGATATGAGTTCTGAGCGAGTCTTGGGAAAAAATTAAAATATTGGTAATATTGCTCAAATTTCCAATAATCAATGTTACACTGAGTAAATAACGAATAATTTGAATTTGAATGTTAGCAAGATAAATTGTCAAAGTGATTGTAGTGGAATTCATTTTTCTAAATTATAGATGCAAAATAAAATTATTAAGAAAATAGTACAAACAATAACGATTGTCTCTATAGTGTGATATATTATATAAAAGTCTATGATGATTTAAGATGAAGTAAAAAGTAACTTCATTCTATTTTGTCGCCACATGTGTTTCTCACAATGATTCTTGTAGCAAAAATTTAATAATACGACTATACAATTATGTTTTTGATTATATATAAAAAGAAAGAGATGTGGTGAACCTATTTCAGAAAGACAACGGAAACAAAAGAAAAGAATAATTACTATTAAATATCTATATATTAGAAGTTTTTTTCTAGTTTTCTATTCTGTTTGATCGTACAAATATTTTAGAAGAGATCATATATTAGGGCATAGTCTTCTAATTTGAAGCCATTTTATCAGAATCTGAACTGTGAAAGAACACTGTTTTATTTTATATGAAATTTTCGCCGACGTTTTACAAACCTGTGAATGTCTTTAGTCTACTAAGGACATTTTGTAGTAAAAAGAAAAAAAATGGCATCTCAGATAAGGGAAAATACCACCTTGCAATTCATTCTTAATTTATGTTATTCGGAATCATACACTGAGGTTGACTGATGGTGTTATGCTTACCAGTAATAGATAACTGAACACCTTTCTATGTAGCCTGTTTTGTGAAATAATGAACATTATAATGCATTATTTAACCATAGAAATATTATGGACGCAATTGCATGATAATGCAATCTATTTTATGTATTATAATGTGTTGCTTATTTTAATTCATTGCAATGCATGCATATATCAACGCATTATAATGCATGATATACGTTGCATTATCATGTAATGACGTCCATTACTTTTCTAACGCCTTTCAATTCATTAAGAACTTTACGCATCATAATGACTTAAAGTACATCCCACATCTGACCCTCCCGACAAACATGATGAACTGAAACTGCTACGGCGAATACGACTTTACTTCTGTATCCTAATACATTTATCATTGTATTTATACCCATATACCTACACTTTTATACTTATTCCCTTAACACAGTACCATTTTACTTATTTCCTTATAATCAGACTCATATACATATACTAGAGATAGAGTGTCTCGAAATCTAATGCTAACTCCAGCTGAGTGGGTATCAAATTTAAAGCTAGATTCTCTAAACAGATTGATCTTTTTCGCCTAGTAACAATTATATTCTCTATATGTTGATGAGCAAACAAAAGATTGGAAATACCTGTTTTATGATAGAATAACAACTTTCAATGCAGAGAAACGGTCGATTTGTTTTTCATTTTAGTGCATCAATTTAAATTAGTTTCTAAAATGTTTGTAGCATTTGATAGTGTAGATATTAATAGTGCTTCGGATCGATTAGTTGAAACGAAGTGTTACTATTTATTACGGGTGAGGACTTCATGAAAATACTGTTCTAATATGCCTGGATTTGCTATTTTTTCTTTTGCGCAGGTTTTACAGATTGATTAATTTCTATTATTAATTTTTTGAGTTCTGATCTGATTAAAAGTTTCATAGTCATTGTTTTTCGGTTTTCGCAAATATCAGACGAAAAGAAGTTGAGTTCGTTCATTTCATTTTTACTTACCTGGTTTTTACTGACTTGTTTACTTATTCAATTCTCTTTACTTAAACACTAAATACATTAGCTGTTGCTCGTCTCCTATAAAAAAAATGTTTGCAATTTCTCGAAGATGTAACCCAAATCAGAGAGAAAAAATTTGGAGTTGGAGTTAGAGTCGAAAAAACGTTTTTGGACTCGAACTTGGGTTTCAGCGTTAAAAAATTTGGTTCGACAAGTATCTAGACTGAATCTTACATCATTGCCTTTAGACTTATACTGTTGTGCCTAAACGCTTTAGTACAGTTGCTAGATAAAGAACCAAACAATATATGCCGGAAAACGATAACGAATAACATTGTTTGAAACAGCTCATTGTATCTTATTCTATCGCACTTTAGCAGATCGTTGACGCTAGTGATTGTTTACGAGCAGACAGTGTAGACAACGGCGTTTGTTTAATGCACCATTTACAGTTGGTGCATGCGGCGTCTTAAGATATTTTGTAAACGTCGGTTGCAATCGGGATGTTGTTATGATAGGTTACTAACAGGGATTATTCACGATTATTGTTTATGACGATCATCATACACTCTATAGCTTCGTTTATGACTACTGTAAATGACGTTCTAAACCGTGGTCGTTTTCCGTCATAATTGATCGATATGCAACCGTATATGACTCTGAGTTACTGACTTGGGCAAAAAGTTGTTTTGAATAGTTAATTATTGAAGGTCAGAACATTAGAGTGTAGGTGGATGTGGATATTGGTAAAGAGAACAGTCATACCCACACTCACCCTGTAAACCAAAATGCTGATAATTTTAGTCTGCCCTTCCCCACGGAATAAAAATTCATGATTTTTTTAAATGGCATATCACATCGCTTCTTCAAAAGTGGTCATCTACTACAGGTTTGTTTTATGACAATATTCAACTTTACAATCAAAAATTTTTGAAGAAATTTTCTATTATTAAACAAGGCGTTTTTATTAATTAAGCGTTGTGGAATACCGGGTTTTTCACTAGAAAAAACAATACTTTTATTAGGCGAAAAGTAACTTAAATACAAAAAGTGTTTTACTGGGGGTGTTACGTTATCTTTATTTTATGGCATAAATAAAAGTACAATCTTTATTTTTATAAAATAAACATAAACAAATTCTTTATGTTTATTAAATAACGGCAAAGAAATTTTTTATTTTTGAAAAATACACATAAAAATAAGTAAATCCTCATGCTTTATTTTATCTTTATTTTTGAAGATAAAGAATGAATTTATTTTCTTTTTCATACACATAAAAATTTAGTCTACATTTATTTTTTAAATGTAAAAAATTTCTTCATTTTTATTTTATAAAGATAAAGATCTTTTTTATATTCATCTTTTAGTATAAATAAAAATAAAGACAGTGACAGCGTCGTTTTTTTATCAAAAAATCGAGTTTCTATTTGCTCAATCGTACGAAACCAGCAAAATTTGCAAAAAAATGTTTCGAGAGCTCATGGCCTTCTGTTAAACTTTGTGGAATCTTTTAGTGGACGGTCTTATAATACAGAACGATCTTCTATTTTTGGGAGATATTTGCTTCAAAGTCGATTATCTTTTCAGTGGATAGATTAAAATTGAGTCTTTCGAATGAAACGAAAATTTTTGTTTACTTTTCTTTGTTGAAGAGTTTTTTCCGCTCATAAAATTCTTGAGCAAGAAAATTATATGATCTCCAGACTTCTTAAGACATACACTAAGAAACAAGTCTCGCTTATATTTCTACCCAATTTCAATTTACAAAGAAGCTAGAGTTCATTAAAGATTGTTTTGGAAAAGTTCATTTCACTCGATCAAAATAAATTGAACATCGAGTAATTGGATTCAAATTGACTTAAAATATTGTCATTTGAATCGATTTTTCAATCAGAAAAAATAAATTAGAATCAGGGCAGGGCAGTTCTGCCTTGTGACAGTCTATGTTTCATACTCAACTGTCAGGATTCATGTATTGTCGGTTTAACTGTTGTGTCACATATGATGAGATATTATTTATTTTAATTACAATATAGTAGGAATTCTTGCGAAAATGGGATTGATAAATCTCTTATTGTACAAAAAGAATCAAAAGTGTTCTCATTTAACTAATAGCTTAAAGTGTAACCGATTTTATTAACAATTTTATTATTGTGAATGACTTCAATGTTATATTATTATAAAACAAAAAATGTTTTCATTGATGAACATTATCAAAGTTTTCATCGGCGTATTGCTCACATGCTTTGATAAATTTTTCCTTCATGTCTTTCTCAATAAGAAATGCCACTTCGGCTCCATCTCGATCTCTTATTGTGCATTGAGCACCGTCATGAACTGGATTGAGATGAAATACACGTAGACACAATCTACCATATATGTCAAACTTGAAACTTGAACTCAATTGAAATTTTAGCTTTCAATTTTCAAGTCTCAAATGGGCAGCACTTTGCAGAATCACCACTAACCCGCATTCTCACACACATCATCACAGCTGGTGAGGGTGCGGCGAAAGGACTGGTCACGAAACGACTTGAAACTTGAAACTTGAAACTTGAAATTTCAGTTGAAAGTTGAAATTTCAATTGAATTCAAGTTTCAAGTTTGACACTACTGATATTTTCAAGAGTATGATATTCATTGAAGCGAATTATTTATTGATAGATTAATCAAAATTAACTTCGACAAATTTCTCTATCAAAGTTATAACTTCGTCACATTTATACCACGAAGTTGTAACTTCGTCGACCGGTGTAATTTCGATACGACATATATAGGATATCAGTACATGCTATTGACGTTAAAAATACTGAAATAATACAAATTTTTGAAAGAGGATGCTGATTAACGAGAAGAATAGCATGGGATATATTCATCGTAAGCACGGACTCATAGTATTGCCCCAAGTAAAGTGAAATATGTTGGAGCTGTGAAGAAGAATTTGTTTTATAATACCCATCTAATTTTATGCCTTCCTCGATTGCAACATACGTCCTTCACAACATTTGTTTCGCACCTATACGTATACTCATCGAGACGCATGGGAATATGGATGAATGTATGCAAAAAAATACAAGTTAGTCCGATATTTGTTCTTTACTTATTTTCTTCTTGCTCTGGATCTGTTGCCGTAATTCATCTATTTTCACGTGTTTTCTTCTATTTTCGGTGGAGTGTATGGATAGTCAACGTTAGTAAAAAAAGAAAAAGATCGGTTGAAAAGTTACCGATGGACTCAGCACGACTAGCATGTATTTTGTAAAATAATATTTGACATCTTTCATTTTCTTTCTTTCTTTTTCTTTTTAGATAAAGATGGAAGGACTTCTAACTAAACAACGAAGAATTTTGGTCCTAAAATGATTGTTAACATTATGAAAAATATCTCAAATGGCGCATACAACTATTGCAAATGAATTTCACGATACAACAAGACTAAATAGACAAGGAATTCATCAGCTTGCTAATAAGTTTGACCGAACATGTTATGTGGATAATGCACCACGAAATAGTAAACCTTTTAAACAAAGATAGCCGAGAATGGCCAGGATGTCTCTAAGAGTTTTCTTTCAAATTTACAGAAAATTCAACGATATTCACAACTTCAGCTTCAGATCGTACGGACAAACTTGAAATATCTTACAAAAACTTTCAAATTGAAATCATAGATACCAATACTAGTAAAGGTGTAAAATGAATCTGATACAGATCCACGCCTCGAACTTCAATAGTAACGTTTAGATTATTTGCCAGAAGTGCAACAGTATTAGACCAAATTCTATGAACAGACGAAGGAATTTGTCAGGCAAATGGTCCAATTAATAGACACCATTGTAGTCAAATAAAACGGACCATTTTCTAAAAGCTGTGGTAATCATTATACCAAAAATGTCGACTTTGTATACTCAGGTCGTGTTTCTCTTAACCTCCGATATTCATCTGATGTATACAGCTATTTGAGGGTTGTGTTTGTGAGAGTATGATGAGAGCGTGGAATGAAGATATTTGCTCGCTCCATCTCAATCTGACATTATCACTCTCATTACACTCACACTTTTATTGATAATGGCAGATATACAACAATATACAAATCGATAAAATAATCCATGACAGTCGACATGTAAAGAAATGATGGCCTTGGGCTTTCATATCTACATCGTTCTGTATGATTGATTCAAATACTTTCCAACCTATTTGAGCTGTTGCGTCATATGGATTCGATGTTTGGTATTTCAAACAGGTACTGATGGTCTTCTCAATTGTTTCGTTTTCGCATGTATAACCATCGTTCGTCACGAATATTGGTAGAAAAAATGATATAGTCGGATCAACAGATGTATAACTACCTGCTAAATAGACAGCTAAAACATCGTGCATTTCAGGCGTACCCAGTTCAGGATTGAAGGGTTGAATGGCACTCATATTGTTTCCACCATCATCATACCATATTGTGTAACTCTCAATGATCATATTGACTGTACGAGATCTGTTTCGATAGGATAAAAATGTCTTCCAGAGAAGACCATTAAATTGCATAAAGTTTGTGCAATCCAATGGTGATAAACTGAAATAGGCCCAATTTGATGTAAACATGATTTGCGCTGATTGAATATCATATTCAATATTATATTCTTTAGATGGTGTAGTCGAACTTTCATATCCATAGTATACACTACCAGCCATAGCAAATAATCGATTATTTACCGACAATGATGGGTATTTTTCAAGTACATTGGCCAACGATGTTGCCGGTCCTATGTGAATATAATGATACAATTGATTCGTCGATGATTTTTTCATTTCATCGGCTAATGCTTGTTCACCATCGACAAAAACGGTTCCACCATCATTCTGAAACTGTTCCAATGAATAATCTTTTGCCCATCGATATTCGAATATGCCATATGTATCTTGAGAAACGCGACCAAGACCTATTGGAATATCGAAACGTTTAAAAAAGCTCAATGTTTTCGCTACAATTTGTGCTCGCGCTGTTGTATTCGTTGTTGAACAAACAATTAGTTTTAAATCAAAACGAGTTGGCAGTGACAGAATGTATACTAACGCCAGATGATCATCATAGGCTGTACCAATATCGGTATCCAATATCGTTGGAACTGGTATGCCATAGATTGCCATCACTAGTGAGAACAAACTCAAAAAACAAATCATCTTATGTGTACACGAGTAGGAATGTTTGGCAGAATGAAGTCTGATATACACATACCGATACGCGTGAGAAAGGAAAGAAAAAACAGATTGTGTCAATATAATTCAATGAAAAAAAAAGAAGCTTACATCAAGCTGCGACAAATGAGGTTGAGAAAAAATGGAGGCATTTTAAAAACAAGTGTGTAGAAACAATGGTACAAGTTGTGACAGGATGTGCAACAGCCTGAATTTCTTGCTTAGATACGAAGTACGTTTAGACAATATAAGACCAATCAATTTAACTCGAAACACATTATCTGCATTTTCGTCTGCATTGATCACTATACATTTGTTTCAGATTCGTTTAGTTTTTCGTCGAATCAAATGATCCTAAGAGTCTTTCTGAGATCGAAGTGCTATTAGAACTTCTTACACTAACGTCACTTGTTCTTACAGTGTGGCTTCTCTTATAAGATGCGCTTGTATCATTTAGTTCTTCAAATTTCTCTTATAAATTTATGTTGTACCAAAGGAGAACTGAATGAAGAAGATAAGAGAAAAGTTTTCCGGAATCTCTAATGAAACAGCGAGCTGATTTTACTGAAATATTCGTATTCTGTCGTCCTTTATAAGAACTTTGAGAGGTTCATATATATGCGTGTAGTGTCTTATATATGTTGCATTTCCTAATATAAATAGATCTTGAGTGATACTGTGGTCTGATTGTCAGAGAGAGAGAGAGGGAGAAAGAGAGAGAAACTACAACTTTACTCATTAATTCATTAGAACAAGACTTACAGGAACGTAGCATGATGAAGAGAGAAATAGATATCCTTTTTTTCTTGACTGGTAGACAAGCGTGAGTATCATATGGTCTGAGCCCCGCCTGTCTCATTCATGGCTATTGACAATATCAATAGATGTCCTGCTGTCCAACCAACGTATGTGCTCTTCTTTCACAGACTAACTACTAGCTATAACATTTCATTCGCCATTATTTTTTTTTATAACATTTGCCGATACAAGAAATAACTGCTTGCTAAGTTTTAGAAAAGTGGGAAAGATATGTCCTATGGAAACCAAAATCATGAAGAATAGAAGACATCTTTGGTATGTGGATTAACAAACAGATATTTGGCATGATTTAAGCTCATATATAATCAATAACGATCAGTAAATGGTTTCTGTCTATTCTAACACACGAATCAGAAATTATCAACATCTCTCAATTAATCTGCCATAGAAAAATAAATTTACTGGTGATGGTGACATGAGAATCGTGTGTAAGTTAGAAATGATTTTAGATGATTAATAAAAAGGTTCAAAATTTCGATTTTTGAACATAGCATGATGCTGATGACAGCATCCGTTTATTGAAGCTTGCTATTAGTTGATGTAATAATCCATCCATTTCGTTGCTATTCTGAATTTTTGTACAGAAGATCAAAATAGTGAACTCAGAAAAAGATTTTCAAATATCTCTGGAAGAGTGTTTCTCTGATAAGCATAGCAAACTATAAATGATTGGAAGTTCTATCAGAAACCTTTTTTCCTTTTGACTACATTCAAAAATTTCAAAACTAAGAAAAATAAATAATTCAGAAATAAATTGAAGAACTCAGAACTTACAAACTTAGAGAATAAATTTTCAATCACAGGTCTTTTATCGACGATAAAAACATTTTCTTCGAATGATCTATTGTTATGACACAAAAATATGCATTTGACCCTGAGAAAAAGACTTACATCGTTTAAGTTCTATAAAATTAATTATAAATCATATTTCATTGACTGCTAAACACTAAAGATGTCCATGGCGGCACTGCTGTCATCACAACGACGTCAGCAGCGTGGGAGATGCTTCAAAAATGCTATCGCAACAGCATTGTGACAAAGGCAGCTGCTTTTTTATGGAAATTATCAACTTACATCAGTTTGTATCCGATTTAAATATCTTCAAGTCCAATAATCAGAATCGTGGTGAATCTGATGGACTCTATCCAATTGTACTAATTTAGCTCAATGATGAAGATTTTTGAAGAGTTTCATGAAAATCACTACGGCAGTGGTAGATTTCCAGCCACAGTAGTCATCTCTGTTACATACACATATTTTCTCTTCATTATGATTTATGATCAGCATATGTAATTCAGATCAGAGATGATCACAACTTGATTCATAACTTTTCAAACCGATTTCGATTTCAGCTTTGTTTTTCTTTTTGCTAAACTAATGCAAAGTTAAATCAGTATATAGATGTATATATCATACGTAGCGATGAAAGTATTCATATATTTTGTTGTCTTTCTTCTTTTAAGAGAAACAACGTTAATGAACCATTTATATTCTTTAGCGTAAGCAAAATATTGACGTCATAATGTATCGATTGAATCAAATTCGATATGATGTACACACTTCTTTCTCATTAATACGAGAAAGGAAGAGTAAATAATAACTAAGAAGACATGGGCTGACATATAATTATAATAAATCCTTCTCCTTCCTATAATAGACGATTCTGAGCGCTCTATTATGTTCAAGCGAACAAATGTTTCGGCCGGTCTTCTGTTAGATTTCTTTCTTTTTTTAACTATCAATTATTAAAAGTTTTTCTTCAAAAGACGACGAGTTTTGAGGGTTATAACAAGATTTTTACAATTAAAAACAAAGACATCCAAACGATTTTAGCTTCAATCTTTATTGATTTTGAACTTAGAATCTCAATTATTTATTGTGTTATTTTCACTATTCTTTTTTAAAAGAATAAAGGAAAAGAAATGAATTATATAAATTTATTCTATAACGCTGTACATTGAAATGAATTGTCATGTTCTTCTTCTCCATCAATACTAGCATTTGCTGTTATATTTATTTCATAACTTGAATGGTTTTTATTAAATAATTTCTGTTCATCTTGAATATGTTTTTGAATAGTTGGATCATTAAAATAAAATCGTACATCTTTTCTTGGTGTTCCACTCGAACCAATTGTTCTTCCTTTTTGTCGTTGTTTGTCTGCATATTTCGAATGATTTGATGTTGTATAAAATTTTGATGATAATGGCGTATGAACACGTAAACGACTTGATGATAACGATTCTTGTGATGTAAAAATTGTTTGTGGCATATGTTTAGCTAGTGGTGAAGATATGATTGATGATGAATTTCGGCGTTGATGATATTGTTGAAGTTGTTGTCCATGAAATGGTGTTGCTTGAACAAACATGGCTGCTCCATTTGATGAATGAACAATTGTTTTTATTTGTGAACGAAATGCTGATAAATGTTTATGACACCAACGTAATTGTGCTTGATAACGTTGAAACAATGTATCATCATGTTCAATAACATACATATCAATTGAATCTGTTGTATCGATTTCAACAAATGCATAGTTTTTCATATCAAATGCAATAATACGTGTATGATTTTCAGCAAGACGATGTAATGTTATACGTCGAAATGGATATCCAGATGTTGTTGGACTATTTTCTTCTAATGTACGACTTACAACAAGTTCGACTATAAGTGGATATTGATTAGTTAATTGACTTAATAAATCAGTGGTATATAAACCTTGAATTCTATTCGATGGAAATGATGATAAATAAGAGGGAAATGATGATTGATTATGAGATTTTATTGATGATAATTGTGTATATACAGGAACAAAAATACCATTTGAATCTAATTTTAAATTGAAATTTTCATCATATTGAGTAGATTTAACTTCAAGATAATCATTTGATAATGATTGATTTTTAATTGAACGTGTTTGTTGATAATTAGGTAGTAAATGTTTATTAAGTGAACGTGGAAAATTAGCAAATAATGTACGTAAACGATTTGATGATACTGATGAAGGTGATGGAGAAGGAGCTGATATAATTGGTCTAGAACATGGTTCAAGAAGTGTACCTGGATTTATACGATGAAGTGCTGCATTGCTAAATGCTATTTGTGGCTGTAATGTTGTGAAATGTGAAAATTCGGATGATGGTGATGGTGATGGTGATGATGATGATGATGATGATGGTGATGATGATGATGGTGATGGAGTTTTAAAATGTGCTTGTAACGAACGAACAGATTGAATAATATTATAACGAGTAACGCCACGTTCGACTGAAGCAAAGAGACCTAAATAGAACATAAAATTTAGTTTGACTCTGCATATGGTAAATTTCTTTCTTTACTACTTCTGACCTCTCTATCATATTGTTAAAGAAAAAAGTGGTGATTACTGATTGACATAATTTGAACAATAAGAATTTTTTGAAAGTTTTAATTTTCATATGTAGAAGTCATTTTTTTAAAGTATGAATAAAAATTAAAAAAAAAACATATTGATTTCCTTCAGTGATGGTCAAAGACTTTGTAATTTAAAGTTTTCAGGTTTGTATTTTTCTAAACTATGTCGATCTGTATGTTAAAAATCATCTGAATTATCATTGAGAGAAGAAAAATACATACCATCAAATGAAATTGGAATAGAAAATCGTTCAGTTTCATTTGAAACAATTAAATATGGATCATTTGTTTCACAAAGTAAAAGACAATAATTATCAATGGATTGATTTATATCATCATTAAAAAGTCGAACAAGACATGGTAATTGATGTTGTTCAAGAATAGCTGGAAGTGTTAGTATTTCATAACTGTCACTATTCTGAAGACCATCTTGTTCATAAAAATCACCGTTTAGACGTGGTGTTACAGCCCACTTAAGCATTTACTTTACTCTTTTTCAGTACAGAGAATAAATAAAGCTGTAGACGAATGAAGAGATTTAAAAAATTAGCGATAAGGTAAGTGATCAGAATTCGAAGTGCAATGGATGAAAAATTGAAAAGATTAAAAAGAGTAAGTATAAGCAACGAGTTCTATACTGTTCTGTTTTTCTCTTCTTTTTTTCTTTGAAGAATACATAGTTTATAATATACTGTACGTATGTTGCTCCACTTTCTCCTTTTTTTTGCGTTCGCACG